GTGGACAAAGGACATGGAAAAGGTGCAGGCATTGAATCTCTTCTTTGCCACTTTGTCTTAACTTGTAATCCCAGATCCCTGAGATCAGTGGGGGAAGTCTGGAGCAAGGCAAATGTTCCTTCAGTAAAGGGGGATCATTTTAGAGAGCATTTGAAAGAATTGAATGCACACAAGTCATGGGGTGCACTGTCGGGACGCAGCCAAGAGTGCTGAGGGAACTGGCTGAAATCATTGCAAGATCACTGCCAGTAACCTTTGAAATGTTTTGGAGATTGGAGGAGATTCCTGAAGCAATGAAGAAAATTATTTTCATTCCAGTCTTCAAGGAGATTTCAGAGAACTACAGTCTGGTCAGACCCACATATGATCTCCATCACAAAAGGTGATGGAGCCAATAATCCTGGAAATAATTTCTAAACATATGACAGACAAGAAGGAAGGAGGTAGCATGGATTTATGAAATATATGAAATATAATCCATATGAATATATGGATTATGAAAAGCAAGTCATGCTTCCTCATAACATAACACCTTTCAATATTAAATGCTGCTGAAAATTCTAATATTTTTGACTCATAATTTCAATCTTGTTTCCTATTTCTTTATTTCCATCTTACAGGTCAGAACCTGATTTTTTAGTTCTAGACTTAATTTGAGCCCTTATCACTGAGCAGAAGTTCTTAAGCATGCTTTTCTCACAACAGCTCATGCAAAAAATCTGTATATCCTCTGTGATCTTTTAATTTACAAGTTTACTTTTGGGGTCAGTTTATAATCCATGAGGAATTTTGAATATTGATATTGTTTCAAAAAGGTTCTGAAACATCTCTTGTAAAGTCATCAAACCAATCATTTGTGTCCCTATGGTCTGTTAGTAACATTTTCTATTTAATGTCTTTATGCTTTCTATTCCATATAAGTAATTAAACCTGGGAGAAGCTCTATGGTCTCCTTTTACAGAGGACGCTACTATATGTGGCTGCATGTAGTTACATATCTGCTGTATTGTGATGTTTGCCATTTGGACTACCAGAATTGCCTTTTTAATACTGTTTTTAGTATTAACGGTTTAATACTGTTCATTCCCCGTTGTCTTTCGTCATTCTGTAGTATGAAGGAATTGCATTATTGGGGTTTTCCTTAGCGTTTGGTATGCATTTCAGCTGACCTGTCTGAAATACCCTATCTGGATGTGTGTCATTACACCAGTGCAACCTGAAATAAGCAAATAAGGAAATCAGTGTCAAGGGCATCAGCAATTACAGAGGAATTGAGTTGTAACTCCACCTCTGTTGTGAGGGAAGCAGCTACTTCCCTGTCTGCATCCTGACAGGAACAGTGGCTTCTCAAAGTGAAGCTTAAGGTGCTGAAGGAAAACCTGGGACCATGAGGACCTGTTGCCTCCAGAGCTACTAAAAAAGGTGGAATTGAGTGATTTATACTGACTGACTTCACACCTTGGGCAAAGAGATGAGGAACGAGAGGCCACTTTTTGCATCATTCAACATGGAGCAAGAATGGCAAAACATACCTGCCAGAGAGCTTAAGGGGAATGCAGTGTGAAACACTAGTGCTGATTTACATCTGTTTCCCTAGGAGATTAAAAAAAGATTGGGAAATAATTCAAAGCATTTTGGCCTGTTTAGATCTGCGGTGTTAACGGTGTGAGCTGTTTTTGGTTTAGACACTACCTTGAGGAATGATGGAGTTACATGTTCTTAATCTACAGAAGGTCACAATGAGGATGCTTTGGTAGTGAAGTGTACACTGAAGGCACAAATAAAGATAGAAGAAATGAAAGGAGTGTAAACCTTTGGGGGTGAGGTCAAGGTTGTTATGTATCAATCCAGTTTCCCTGCTGTGTGTCAGATGTGAGATTAGTACAATTTACTCACCATTCCCTCCCTGGCCTCAACCACTAAAATGGGCATACTTCTGTCACAGGACATCGTCATGAAGGGATGTTGTACAGCCTCCCAGTTTAGATCAGAATGTTGTCTGCTAGCTTGGGCACTGTGAGACAAGTCTTTCCTAATTATAGGGGAGTAATTTCTGCCACATTTTTTCTTTTATTGAGTGCCAAGGTCATGATGAAGTAGATGGCTTTATTTACAAGATTATTTCAATTTGCCTGTTTTCACAATGAAAACCTTGAATAATACTCATAGTGTGTCCTGATTTTCAGGTTTTTATTACTAAAATGGTGCTTTAAAAATAAGAAGAAATGCAACTATATGTACAATATTTTCTTTTTTGTTGTGCTTTGGTACTATTAATGCACATATTTATAAAGTGCTTAACTTTCATAAGAAAATATTATTAATATGTAATAAAACACCAATTTAGGACATATACTAGATTTTCTTAGGGTAATATTTGGCTCATTTTGCAACGAAGCAGTAGTAAATAGGGAGGGGAGGAGCAAGATGGTTTTGTTTGAAAATATGTAAGTTTAAAGAAGTGGCCAAATATATGCTTGACTGGTTACTGAAATGCTGGAAGAAATGTTACTAAGTGTGGAATTACATCATCTTTCCTCTATACACAGAAAAAGCCCAAGGAAATATCATTTGTCATAAGACCTACACTGCATAATCTAAAATGCCACTCTAATGCTGAGAGCAAAAGGATTAAGAAAAACAACCAAACAAAAAGTACACAAAACCCCCAAGAGCCTAAAAAAAGTGGTGAACAATTCAAATTAAATCAGTTTTTTACTAAAATTAAAGGGTGAGGAGGGAAAAAATCTTCAGTTCATTTAATAATTAAAGTTTGAAGTGGGAGAAAACTCAATAGTGCATAGACAGAGAAGATTGAACACATTAATGTACCTTTTATATTTTGATCCTTATCTCTACAGAAAGTTATGATTATTTATAAATTCTGATACTGGAATCATAAAAATAGAGTCAGTGCCCTTCTTTTCCTGCAGATGTGAATCTCATTTTCTTGTCCAAGACTTCAAAAAAAGAGCTTTGCACAGGGGACTCCCACAAGACAGAGGAAGGGAGAGTAGCCTCAGCTCCCTCCAAAATCAAGGATCTCACATAATAATGTCTGTTGGCATCCCTGCACTGCTTTCAGAGCTGAGGTGATGTGTGCTTACTAAATGACATGTTCTTCTGGGAGCTCAGAACAGCCACAGACACTGTGAGCCGGAAGCTGGACCTCAGACAACTCCTTGAGATGGCAAAAACAAAGCCCCTGCTTAGCTGAGTCGAAGTAGGATTGATGGACTTTGTGCTAAGGCTCACATTGTCCTGCTTTCCATGATGCATAACACTGTGTATTGGACTTTATGCAGACATAAAGAGAGAAAAAGATTGAACTTTCTCAATCTCTGGTTTTGACCAGAGGAAGGCAGCCACAGTGGTTGCATTTATCTGAAAGGAATAGGTGGGGTATTCCTTTCAGCCTTTATTTTCAGATGTTGCATACATTTCTGTGAGAGCCAAATGCAGATATTTAGTGAATCAGAGCTGAACACGTAGCTTAGAGTGAAAAAACAGATCAAACTCTCCATGGTTTCTTACCTACACTGAAAAAAAAACCCCAAAACAATCAAACCCTACCCAGACAGAGGTTTAGTTAATATTCCCATTGGATAGTTAATGTGAATTGCTTTTGTTATGAACTGTTTGCAGGCTTTTCAGGAAGAGAAGGTCAAGTTTCAAACTATAAAATACAGAGTTGAAACTGGACAGTGGTGCTCACTGGAGCTTCATGTGTTTCAGAACAATGAAATGGAACTCACAGAGTGAAATGGAGTATTTTTACATTTTAAAGAAAAAGCAGATGCATGTATGAAGGCAAAATTAGCTCCAGTGTCAGTCAGACTGAGGCTGGAGCATGTATATGTAGAGCACAGGACCTTTCTGGCCATCCATGGCATCAGTTCTTCAGAATATGCCTCTGGTGGACCTCAGTGTTGGCTATTACTCAAATCCATAGTAGTTTAGGACTTTGTAGCTGAAGGGCTGTTTTTATCCATGTGTGGACTTCACCATTACTTGTGACTCATAAATCCATAATAGTTTAGGGCATTCTGGCTGAGGGGCTGGTTTTTTTCCATGTGTTGTACTGTCCCCAATGCACACACTAGAGCTATTTCCAACTGGGACACCCTTGTTTTTTAAGGAAGGAAATTGGTGGCAGGTTCTTCAGAATTGTGCTGTAGCCCATTGAATTTCTAATATTTCAGTGTCTTTAACTCAAAACTGCAAGGAATCTTTTAATTTCAAATTTAATTTCTTTTAATTTAATAATCTTTTAATTTTAATCTTTTAAATTCTTTCATTCAAATTTTAATTTTAAGTTCACTTTCCAACTCTTGACCTGAAATAGTTAATTCTGTAAACTGGAGCTCATATTGCAAAGCTGATTTACAGGATTGTTGCTTTGAGAATGTGCTTTGAGCATGGAGAGACTCCTGCTTTTGTAAGATTTTTTGAGGTTTCACTGTTTTGTTGTTTCTTTTTTATGGCAGAGCAGTTAAGAGATGAGAATAGGAATCTTTTATAGTGTTAACATGAAATACATATATATGTGCATGCATACATATATATGTGTGTATATCTATATCTATATCTATATCTATATCTATATCTATATCTATATCTATATATATAATGAAAACAAGGGTTAGTGTCAGTACTGAGCATTAGAAGCTGTACTTTTCCACCCTCCCTGGGGTGTTTTACTGCTTTCTTGAAACAGGATATAGAGAACCTTTAATTAACCAGTCAAAATATATGGAGCCAGATTACTAATCAAATGCTCATTTGGGACAAGGTCCCAGTCCTGCTGAAGCCTCTGGAAACAAGGATGCGGAGAACCTTTCAGGACTGGGCCTCTCTTTCCAGAGAACAGGAAAGATGTATTTGAGTTTCACCTGTGCAGGAAGTTGTAGTGTGACAAGATGAGGATGGCACCCTTCAGAAGGGCTGTCTTGGATGGAAACAGCCACTGCTCTGATGACAGCTTCCCCTCGTTCTTCCAGGTGTGTCTGCTCAGCTGACCAGCACTCGTCTCCGTCGGAATACGTCTGTGGGCACCCCGTTCTGGATGGCTCCAGAGGTCAGGTTTCAAATATTTTGTCACTTGTACTCGAGCTGCTGTATTCTGCATTTCTGCTCTTTGTCTTTCTTCCTGGTCCTTCCACCAAATGAAACAGCAGTGTCCTTTAAAAAAGTGTTTATACCTTTCTGTCTTACATGTTTGCAAGAATTAAGTTAAAATGAGGTTTATTTTTGAAATTACAAGATTAGAGACAGGGAACAATACACTGAAATGCTTACTCAAGTGTTGAAGAGTAAAGAGTACTACTATTGATACTTACCAGCCTTTTGAGCTCTGAAACTATAGATATCTCCCCATGGTTGTAGAGTTGCTGAGTTTCCTTCTACTTCCTCTGTTGTGGGATGCAGTTTATCACCTTCAGCTGAAAAAGCCATGGATTTTTATCCTTCAAATCAGAGAACATTTGGTCAGAGAATGTGGTGTTCATGAGCACCTGATTTCTCTACTTTAAACATTGGAGGTTTTTTGGTAATTGGGTGGATGCTGTTTATTTCACTGAATATTCTGTAAGAGATTCCTCCAACTGTGGGTGTGCTCTTAAATGTGGACATTTAACCATCCCAGTCTTTTACTCCAACAGGTGATTGCCTGTGAGCAGCAGCTAGATAGCTCCTATGATGCTAGATGTGATGCATGGTCACTGGGTATTACTGCAATAGAGTTGGGAGATGGAGATCCACCCCTTGCTGATTTGCACCCCATGAGAGCTCTCTTCAAAATACCAAGGTAATATCTTGATGTGTTTCTTTGTTTACGGGTTAGACTGAACTTTTTCCTTAACTATTGCTTTCTTCAAACTTAGACCATGTAAGTTTGTGGAATTTATTTTTATTATTTATACTAGGAGGTAGGTTAAAAATACTTAGCCCAGCTGTATTTCTGCAGGCTCTGCTTTAACCATGCGTGCACATTGAGACGTTCAGGGCTGACTGTAGCTACATTTGAGAAAAAGTCTCAGGGCCTTCTCCTGAGTGAGCTGCTGCCACATTAGAGCAGGACTTACTTGAGTCTCGTGTATTCTGTTACAAAGAATGACATATGACAGGAATACAGAGTCTGAATATGCCACTGGGGTGAACAGGTCCCATATTTGTTTTCAGGAGTTATCTTCTATCCTTTGAAGCAAAGGTTGTTCCCCCACTCACATACATTTAGGCTTCAGCTTTTTGTTAGCTTGTGCTGCTTCTGCAAGTTCCAGTGTTGCTGTTCTTGGGCAGTGCAAATAGCAACTTCCTTTGTGTTTTTTGCTTTGAAGCTGAAAAATGTAAGTACCCAAAGTTCCACTTCTGGCATTTCAAAGAACATCAATCTCCAAGTCTGTAGGTAATGATCATACAGTAATAGTTTGTGGATTTTACCCTGGGAGCAGGAGCAGTACTACAACAGCTGAGCCCATATAGTATATGTAAGTGCTTAGAGTCCTTTTCAGCCAAAATGCCCAAATTAGTTTAAATTACCTTTAGGTTTAAGAAATCTTGGCTGACTTGGCACTGAAGCAGAGTATGAATGCTCTTCCCTACCCTTGCTTGCTGTAGGAAAAGCAGTTACAAACTATTGTGGTCAGTCACTGCAGCGAGGACTTAAAAAAAACTTCTGGCTTATACTCTTACAAGTACTGGGGACCTTTCTGCCCTGAAGCAAATATAAGTTCAACACACTTTCATTACATTAATTGGTATAATTCCAATACCCTTTCATCCCGTTAAGTAAAACCTGAGAGTGATAAAGTAAATGTTAAGCAGCACTTAAAGAAAAACAGTTATGGTTGATTGAAAAGCAAGTCACCATGTATATTGTTTGGTCATTCCTTTTGTCTTCACTACCATACTCAGTGAAAATGGCATCTCTGAATGGAAGAAGACTGTCAAGACCATTTAAACTAAATTAACACTTACAGTAAACAGCTCTAACAATAGAAAAGAAAGCAGTATCTCTATTTACAATAGATCTTTATTTAGACCTTCACTTCTATCAGATTATCTTCTGATGAATGAGGAATAATTAACAAAGAACCAGTTTCTTCAGACACTTTGTTCAGCAAGTTGATTAATTCAGTCCTTCTGAGAAAACTTAAAATAGAATTTTTTAAAAAAAAATTCTCCTAAGAAAGTATATTGTTTCGGGCTTGAAAAAAGGAACATGCCATTACAAGTGAATAGTGATTAATGGGTCCTTAGTTTAATTTCCTTTTATTGATTTGATTGAAAAAATCACAGTGATTCTTAGCTACACTTGGTAGATCATCTCAATGCTATTTTTCCTTATTAGTTATGTAAAGCAGGAGAACTGATGAGGCATTGCATCATCTACCCATGCTCCTTTTACCAGTGGAAATCAATATCTTTTTTCGGTGGCCTTCTAAAGCTCATTACTCAGCCTGCCTTCACACATTGTTTTTGTCAAGTGAGGAGCTTATTAACTTATCATAACACTGACCTTTGCAGGAATCCTCCTCCAACACTACAGCAGCCTGAGCTGTGGTCACCTGAATTCAATGACTTCATTAACAAGTGAGTAACAACTGAGACCACTCTGGTTAAATATGGAACCATGTGTAAATGTCATGTATAAAATATCTTTTGTGGTAATCTGTTGTAACTAGTACTCTTCCTTAAAGGGCTAGTTTGTAAATCCAGTTTGACTTCCAAGTGAGGCTTTGTCTTTAAAACATGAAACACCATTTCAACACCCTTGATGTTTCTTAATTTAAAGAATATTTAGTTTTAAAATATAATAATTTAACTTCTTGAACTCATCAGTTCTGTGAAGTCATATCAGTTTTCAGTGCAGAGCTGTTTTGATTAAGATGGATTTATTTATTATGGTGGCATGAATGAACTCTTGACAAGCATTTCAAAACTTAACTGCGAACCCTCAGTGATCATATGTTTTTTTCTGCCAGCACAGGTGCTTGACTAAAGATTATGAGAAGCGTCCGACAGTATCTACTCTTTTGCAGCATGATTTTATTAAGCAAATTGAAGGAAAAGAAAACGTGCTACAAAGGCAACTCATGGAATTTATTGATGTTCATCAACAAATGGGAGTCACTGAAAAGGCAAGGTAAAAGTAGCTACAAAAGTAGACCAGTTGGGTCAATTTTGATACTTCCACTGTTTCAGGATGGCTGGCACTCAGAGAAGGATTCAGCTCTTATAACTTTATCCGGCAAAAAAAAAATAGAATGCTTAATGTTTGGGGTCCCCTGTAGTGCCAATGGAAGGAGAGAGGCATCATGATTCACATGCAGGATGAAACAGTCTTTAGAAGTGACTCCCCTTTCTTCTGTGACTCAAGATACAGTCTTAGAACCCAGCTTTTAGAAAGCTGGGTAGGTGAAATTAATGTTCAGCATTTTCTTACATTTTCATGGTCAGCTAATGTTTAGTTTGAGTAAGTGTGCTAAAAACAGGTAGTCAGATTCCTGCTGGAATTGGCTGGTTTTGACTCTGAAATAAGTGTTAGTCTTAGCAGACTGTGTTTTGCAAACTTCAAATCTTATGTCTTCTTGAATAGATTCTTTCTTCCACTAGTATCTAAGTGATATCAATTCTGAACAAATCACTTAACACCTGATGGCTTTTGTTTAAAATATTTGAAAATGTCTTGGCTCAGTTTTACAATCAAAAAAGCTCCATACAGTACACTCATGTATCAGATGTGAAATGTTGTAGATGAGTATTGAAGTACTACTGGTATGACTGCACCTGTTTCAAGGAAGAGCATGATGCTTTTTCTTTTGTTTCTTTTAATGGAACATGAAATTTAAAAGACATTTTGGCATTATCATCTATGTGGAAAATGCTTGTTCAAATCTGCCACATTTCCTTTCACACATTTATAGTAACAATATATAGAGCAGTCTTCAGTTCTAGTTCTGGAGATTTTTCTATTTACTATATACTGTGAAGATAACGGTAAAAAATTATTTCTAAATAATTATGATACTGAAGTTTTTTCAACTTTAACTGGATATGGGAGGAGTAGTGTTTTCTCTTTTCTGACATCTCGGTATTAAACTATGCATTTGGCTTAAATTTAAGCTTCAGCCTGGATTTACATGCTCTATATATTGCAGACTTGACATTTGCTTAATCCAGAAAGATTCTTGAATTCAAATAGGCTTATTGGATGTCAGTGCTGAGCACTAAACCAGCAACATAATCCAGACTTTTAATAGCATTTATTTATAAAACACATGGAAATTATATGAAGTAAAATAAGTCCAAAACTCTAGGTTATATGAATTGAAATCTTGTTAACATTTGTGATATTAGTCTTTTTGAAGCCTAAATAATTCTGAAAAAAATCAAGCTTACAGTCAATTGGGTATTGTGACTTTTTTTACTCATTTTAGAGAACTCACTTTTGTTTTCATAGCCTTTTTTTCCCAAATTCTTTATTTTTTTCATGTAAATGCTGCATAAAGCAAACTACATGAACTTTTTTTGTTTTCTGCAAATACAAACATAAAGAAAGTGGCCCAATTTGCATGTGCATAGAGCAGTCAAGTGGCACAAGAACGGGATGATTTACTGGTATTTTCTCTGTCCTATTTAGACTGTGTTTTATAAGGTGATGGCTCTTTATGAGAACTAGAATTTAAGGAAATATATTACTGTGTGATGAAGTTACCTATGCTTTTTATAGTTGATCACGTGTAACTTGTATGTCAGATTTCTCAAAGGAAAACAGAATTTTCTCTTTCAAAATAATAATATTAATAATCTGAATCTGCACAAAAATGTACTTATTTAATTCAGAGTGTAATTTAAATGGCATGGTTAAACTGAGCATAGCCCATATTTCAGTTTAGCAGTTTAAAATACTAATAAGCAGTATTTCCAACCTTAATGATCCTGTGATTGTGTAATTTTGTGAAATATGCTGTAAGACTGACTACAGAACAGCATTTGTGTTTTTTTTCTGCTGTGACTGATAAGAGATTATACAAAGATCTTTAAATGCAGTAGTCATGCTTTTTAAAAAGTCTTTTATTACTAATCATATGTATCTTCTGACCTTTAATCTGCACAAAGCAAATGGCGTTAAAGCGGTGTCTGTACAGAAGTACCATGTAAATCTGATTTAGTGTCACGACAGAAGCTGTATAGTGACAAGTCCCTGGAAGAGCTGCTCTTTTCTTGCTCATGCTGTTCTGGCACTGTTTTTACACTGATGTGTTAGGATCCTGCTGTGAAATTTCTGAACCTTCACCAGTTGCTGGCAACTTTCCCTGTGAAACTTCTACCTGATTTCGAGCTCACATTCTCTCAGTCACTAATTTGAAGGCATAACTCTCCTTCTTCTTCACAGTGGGAGGCAGGTAGTTTAAGGGATAAAGATCTTTTCCTTCCACTGAGGTAAGAAATTGTGCTACCTGAATTGTGTTGTATAAGGGGGCATTGGTATATAAAGTCAGTAAGTTTGGTAATGTTGAGTTAAAGGTGAAAGTTAGAAATCTGGTTATTTTCTCTGTATGTGTTTACTCTCCTCATCAAATTTAACTTCATTAATTGCAGTTTTGTATTGCAGAAGAAAAGAAAAAATTAATAGCTGAGGTTTAGCCACTAGGTTTTATAGTGTGCACTATTTCTGTTTTCATTCAAAATTAAGTCACCTTCTTAGCCTATTGGGCTGAGGTGTGATTTAGTTCTGACTGCTTTCTGTAGAAGTAGTCTGTTGTGCTTGTGATCTTACCTTGCTGTTTGCTGAACATGCAGTTGATACAGTTCAAAAAGAAAATCTCATCACATTATGTCACATTCTCGGGGTTTTTTGCAGAGAGCCTTGCCCTCATATCTGATCTTTGTGCTCAGAAAGGATGTGTAATCTCTAGGCACAGAGTGGAGCCACCCTGAAGTCTCTCCCATTGGCACCATTGTTCCTGAGATATTTAATAACACTGGGGAGTCACCAAGTCATGAGTGCCCTCAGAACCTTCCCAGAGTTGTTATTCCAGTGAAGAGGAACCAAGGTTTAGCTTCTGCATTGTACTGCATCCTCTCAAGGGCTGGAAACAAGAGAAACAACAAGAGGAAGAGAGCCCATCAACCACCTGACTAACCAGAAACATCTCAATTAACACTGATAAAACTTTAAATGGTGATGTGCCACAGCCTGGCTCCAGATTTAATCGAGGTGACAGAAGATAATAGTGGTTTTCCAGTAGCCTTTGTATAGTGTTCCAGCACTAGAATACCTTGTGCTACTTAAGACTCAAAAAAGCATGAATACTATCAACGAGCTTCATTAAAAAATTCCACTTTTTTACTTTGAGTAAATGCAGTACATTTTTCTCTAAAATCGTCATTTTTTATGCTAAAAAACATCTATTTGCAACTTAACCTTTCCTAGCTCAGAACTCAGGCTGAAATGACAATGGGAATAGCAGGAAAAAATGTCCCTTGATGCATTAATATTTTCCCATAGCATCCTGACTGTAACATCTTTAAAATCTGCTGCTGGGAATTGTATATGAGATATATATCAAATATGCTATATGGGATAAATTCACATTAGAGAAGAGGTGAAGCAGGGAAAGTTGCATACTAAGTGTAATTAATTTTGGTGGGATTTTTGTGAGGAGAGTCACTTTCAGGACAGGGACCCTGAGCTTGACAAAGGTTTTCAGTATAGCTGTTGAAATTTATAATTAGTGATGAAAGTAGTTATTAAAAATGAGCACTGCAGCATATACCCCAAAACAGTTCTAAAAATACACTTCTTGCTAGGCCGAAAGTGGGAAAAAATGCCTGCATTGTAAAGAATTTTACTCTGCAACAGAAATAGCTGTCTTTGAAACAACCTTCAGAACTGTCGCATCTACACCTGACAGTCAGGCTTGTAAGACTTTTATCTTGAATTGTTTGACTGTCCTCTTCTTGACTGCTTTTACAATAATCTCTGTAGAAATACGCAATGATTAGTACATTGTGTATTTCCTGGGAATTGTGAGTCATTCCAGGATGAGCTGTACATATGAGGGATATTCAGTGCACCTAGATTTCAGCAAATTACTCTGGTCCTCAGATTAAGAGTCATCTTTATATACCCTCTGAGTAACTGTGGGAAAGAGACCTATTCTACTGAAAAATGATGCAAAGTTCCGGGTGAGCTGAATTATTTTCTTAGGAGTTTGTCCTCCTGTATTTGCCATATAGGGTTGGCACTGAAATCAGTAACGGAATACTAAACAGTTGCTCTATTTAACTGTTCGGAAAGGCCAGAGAGATAATTTCATAGAAGTTCATGTACAACAAGCACAAATTGGTTGTCAATTTATTGACCCCTATTAAAAAGAGGCAGTACCATAAAGTTTCTTTTTGTGACTTCCCCTGATTGCACAGACTTGTGTCACCCATTTTCTGGGCGTTCACTCTGTCCCAGTCTCTCTGACTCATCCTGCCAGGAAAGCAGCTGACAGCAATCCTTCAACTCTGCAGTGCAGGCTGTAGGAGAGGGTGGGGGATCACCATGCTGGCTTGACAAAGACAGTGTGAGGAGCAAGCAGTAGAAGATAATACACAGGCAGTCCAGTACTGTATTGGCCAATGTCTCCAGATGACATCTGGATGGGAGTAGTGGCTTAAATGGGAGGTTTTAGAATTCCAGTTCAATCTTTGATCCCTTCAGGCCAGTTCTTTCTTTCCTGGAACTCAGTGTGGGCTTTGTTTTCCCAAGAAGTGTGTGTCTCTGCATTGAGGACTCACCTATGTAGGATGGCCATGCTGCAAACTTCTCTCAGGCTGTAAAAGCAGTAGGAAGTTCTGGGGACAAAGGCCTTAGAATAAGTAGATCTCCAGTCTCATAGCTAATATACGTCTCTGTATCTGAATAATGTTCTTCTGTATGAGTCAATGGACAACAGCAATGCCTGAATGAAGAATATTAACTTCTGAAGTAGTACTTTACTGTTGTGCCAGTCCACCTGCTCAGCAACTCCTTTCTCCTGAAGGTGGGACACATCAGCAGGCATTTCTTACCCATGGAGCTTCTCCTTTATCGTCTTGATATGGCTGTGAGTGTGTGAGCCTGACTCATGAGGAACTAATCTCAAAGAGTCCTTTTAGGGATCTCCTGTTTGCTCAGTTAAGAGCACATACTTCCCCCTGAAATTTGTCAGGGGTATGGCTGTTTCTTGAGGCTGTTGTGAAGGAATAATAATTTGCTTTGCTTACAGGTCATGGAAAAGCAACACAAGCTTTGTCAAACAGATTGTGCAGAGCTGGGCACAGCCACTTCTGAATCAAAAGCCCCATAGCTCTGCAGAGCAGCAGTGTGCTCTCAGAAACATTGTATAAGCTGCAGCACAGCTCCCCGAGACTGCAGCCGGTAGTCTCAGTGCTGTCAATCAATTAAATACAGAGGGGAACACAGGGGAACACAGGTTTGTCTGCAAAGCATTGTGCACATGCAGCTGCAGGCTTATCACTGAAGTCTTACACTTTCTAAAGTCAGGTACAGATTTCTCATAGATAGCAGACTGTCGTTTTATTTAAGCAGATTTCACAAGATCAATCTGTGAAGAAAAAATTCTGATTTTAAGTGTGAATTAATACTGCTTTTTGCAGCCTCCAGATAAATGGAATCACCAGCAATGACAGATCCTGTAGAGGTTTCTCTGTGTTGTTTCTTTGTCATTTTACTGCTGTTTGTAACTGCTGGGACGTGTACAGCTGTTCCCACCTTCACCTTACAAAATCTTCATTATTTTTAGTTTCTTCTTTGCACTCATACTAAGGACAGCCCTTTTCCTGTCACTTCTTGGTCTGTAGATGATTCTCCAACCAGTTTAGGCAGAGAGTTCAGCAGGGCATCATGAGTCACACTTTCCTTTTCATGGTATTTTTGGAACTATCAGAAATCTTTTAAATACATTCTGACAATTTGAAGAAGAAAAGCTGCAGTTGCCTCATTTTGATTTAACTGAATCTTGAAAGATAAGTGTAGGGAGGGGAGCGCTGGCGTGAAAGAGAATGCACAGAAACAATGCTGCCTTGGCTCATTTTCTTGTCCTTACTGCATTGATGTTTCTGGCCTTTAGCTGCCTGAATTGCTTGTCGGGCATACTTGTAAAATCCAATGCCTATTTTTGAGCAGAGCAGAGATACATGGTTATTTCAGTTCACAATGTCTATGTGCATGATCTTAATGAAACTTCAGCATTGATGTCAACAGCAATGATGTGTGGTTTTTTTAAGTGGTTGGAGTGAAGCAGTATAACTGCCCTTGAGGGGTCTGTGCCCTTTGACAGCAAAGTGGAAAAATATTGTGTTCTGCAAATCTACTACTTGTATGTACTCTGGAGAATGAAGAATATAATCTGGCCCAACAAGCGCTAGTGTTCTCATAATGTCAGCTGAAGAGGATTACAGGAGGATCGATTTTATGTAATTAAACTTCCCTGGCATACACAGAGATCTGTTTCCTTAAAAGAAAAAAAAAATAAATAAAATAGGAAAAGAGTCCACAACTGGAACATTCTCCTCCCTTCCTGCAAGGCAATTTTTAGTTTCTTACATTAAATGAGAAATGGTAATTGAAACTAACCCTGGGAATACAATTCTCTCACTGATATGCAGTAACATTTAAGGATCTAACATATTAAAAAAAAAATGTGTTCAATGCATAACAGTTCCACCAGAAATGGAAAGCAAAGCTTTCAACAGATGCATTGTTTTGGGTCTGTCTTCAGCAATGGAAAAAATAGAATAGTAGAGCTTGACATAGTCCAGCAAATTCCACATCTTTTGCTTGTGTACATATTGATAGCTCTCTCTCAAAGTCACCCTGATATTAAATGCACCCCCTGGACACAAAATGACCTTCATGCAGGTACAAAGGAGAAATTGTTTAAACTGTCCAAATTTAAATTTTTTTAAATGAAACTTTTAAAAAGAGGTATAAATAGGAGTGTGAATTATAGAGGGGATGGATTTCTATTGAGAGGGTAGGATATTGTCTGCACCTCTGACTTCGGATTCAGTAATGTCCTTTAGCTGCTAAATGCAAATCAAAAAGCAGCAGATTATGCAAGACTGGGGAGTTAATTTAAATATTAATATTACCACATCCTCTTTAATACAACCTGGGGGTACATGCTACCAAAAATTGTCTCATACTGTTATAGTAAGGACAGTACTGTCAGGGCAGCTTTCATGGTAAAACTTATTCCAAAGGAAAGGGAAGAATAGGTTAAATCTTGGATAATGTAGATCCCGTCAATCCTTTGGTTCATTGTGCCTGCTGGTCACTTAGCCTCCTCACTGGATACTGTGCTGCAGTTTTGGCACAGAAATGTGAAACTGTGGTAGGATTTGAAAGGAAGTCTTCCATGTTTGTGTCTTGATATTAAAGTTGCAGAATTTGTCAGCTATGGGTGTGAAGCTCCTGCCTTTGCATTGTTGACAATAAAAAACTCTAGTGGTAGCTGGCACCTGCGTAAAGAAAGAAGAAACTGGCACCAGGATGAGGACAGGCCATTCTGTCATCCTTAGGGAATTATTGTTAGAGACAAGAGAAATTGAAAGAAGTGATAGATGAAGTGCTCTCCTGTCTGGATTTCCATCATCCAGATTGTGATTGCACTTATAGTTTGGGAGAGCATCATTTGCCCATTTCTTCCAGTCCCTTTTCAGTCCTGGCAGTTAGTTATTGCACCAGGTTGGTGCCTGCTTGAGTTTCTGCACACACATCCCTCATCAGTGCACAGCCAGCATGACCTGAAGCAGCACTCATGAACTAGGTGACGCTCATGGAACAGGTTATTAACTAAATATGCAGTAAATGGGTGAGTGTTCAGCTTTCCCCATCAGTGTGACGTTCACTCACTGTAACTTCCCATCTTGGTGTGACTACACTCTTCTGACATCTGTTCACTGTATATCAAAATTCTTGCCTGTGTAGAAAACACCTGTCTGCTTTTACCTATGCCATATATCCAAATACAAAATTATATAAAGAATGTGCCTAATCTTGTCTGAGATCAAGGTAAAAAGTGAGTGCTTCACACAACAGTTTCCTGGCTGTTTACCAAGGTTCCTTGTGTTTGAGAGGTGCCTTCCCGCCAGTGGCATCAAGGAGAGTGAGGTCCTGTCAGGAGATCAGATGTGCCTTATTACATCTGAGCTTGATTCAGTTTGTGAACTCTGCTGTTACTTATCCAGTTTCCCTTGCCCTTATTTTCCCTCATCTCATAAAACAAGTAAAACTAATATGAACTGTAAACCTTGCATTCTCTGCTGTGTTTGTTCTGTTTAGCAATGACTTTACTCTTGGATAAAGAATGATCCAAGTCTCGAGATTTTCTTGCTAATTAAAATAAGGCTGCAGAAAGTTGGGTTTATGGTTTGATTGAAGGAGAAAAGAGATCTAACTTTAAGACAAATTTAAAGTTGAAGTTTAACCCTGATAAGAAAGATATTTGAAATTTTGTTTCCCTTTTCCCTAGCGAGTCCAAACAAATTTGGTCCAGATGTATTTCACTTACCCCAGCACTTGGTAGCACTTTGCTCTATAGTGTGGTCATCTCAGCCAGACTTTAGAGCACTGTGATTACTAAGCTGGAAATGTTTCCATCCTGAGCGCTTTGTCTGCATCATCTTTGCCATACTATTTCATCACACACCCCTGGTTTTGTCTTATACATAACTTATAGCAGGACCTTTTTGCATGTTGGTGCCAGAGTTTCACTGTTACATCCTTTATAAATATGGTCTTTTTTTTTTAACTTGTATTGCCAAGCTCCAGTCTTGCAGCTGATGTAGGGGTGTGATGAAAGCAGGGATCTATAGAGTGACAAAGTTCTTCATGATAGCAGTTCTGGGATTAAATCATAGCCTAACTGTCAGGTACAGGTGTGCTGTACCAAGAAGTTGACTCCTGTCCTGCTATTCAGACATTTGTGTGTTTAAATTCAGAACAATGGAAAGCTGGAATTTTTTTGCCTTCAAAATGGTTGCAGATGCAAGATCTGCTCTGTGTTTCCTTGTGTCAGGAGATTGTATCTCTTTCTTTTCTAGATTTGAACGTATTCACACAAAGAAAGGGAACTACAGTAAGTCACTAGTTTCAAACCAAGAAGAGGTAGATGATTTAGCAACCTTGGAGGTACTGGATGAGGTAAGAACCTCTTTTTTTGTATTTTCCTGAAGAGGAGTAATCACATATTAAATCACAATTGTGTGCTGTTGATTTTCAAATTCAACTGTATTGTCATGCTTCAGTTGTGTAAGTATACAATGACATTTCACCACTTTATGCCAAATACTTTAAACAATATTTACCGTGTCAGAAAGGTTCCAACTCAAAGCTAAAACAATCCCTGGAGTTATAGACCAAACAGTTTGTAACACCATTGGCTAAACAGGATTTATATCACTGGATTTTATTACAGCTAAGTATCCAGTTTGCAATTGGTCAACGTCCAAGACCCTCCATTCCTGTTGCTTGAACACTGAGAGTTGTCTTAAACTAGCTCACCATACTCTCCCAGACTTACTTTGGTGTGGAAATGAATGAGGGTCAATTTATGTCAGCTGAGCCTCTCATCTGTCAATGCCTGCTGGTGAACCTTTGACCAAATTACTGATACAAATACCACTGGTTCATCAAAGTTCAAAATTAGTCCACTAGGCGCAGGGAAACATGGCACAAAGGCGGGAGGGAGGAAGTCTGCTGTGTTTATGCTTTAAGCTTCAAAACCAGAAAGAAGAATCAGGCTGCAGCATATTATCTGCAGGTCTTGGAGGCCATCAGTGGTTGTAAACAAACTGTCATTCTTCATCTGCTGGGCTGTGCATAGACTGTAATTCACACTCTCTTATCTGTAAAACTTCTCTGGTGTATTGTATCTTTGTCAGTCCAGAATACTCATTGTGGCACTTGAGCTGGTAAGCTGCATAAAGCTGACAGCTCACAGAACATCTTCCATCTTCCCAAGAGCTTTGCTATAGTAGCTTGATGGTTAGTTAATTGTAATTGAGCTAATCTAAACTTCACCTACTTCAGGTTTAAGCATTTTATTAGTATTGGGAAGAGTAAGACTGTTGCAGGTTTTTTTTTTTTTATCTTTTCCCATGATATATATAAACAATCCAAGCTAAAGAGATTTTATTGCACAAAAAAAACAGACAAACTGGAATATATCCCATCTCCTTAAAGGTGGAGCATTCTCATGGAAGTCCTCAGGAAGCCTCTGTCTAAACACATCATTTGACTATGTGGTGTTACTAAATCAACTCCAGTTTAAAACCACTTTCACATATGAATGGCAGCTTCTCAGAACTATATTCTTTCTTCCACTCAAATTTTTCTTCCAGTTTAGGTAGCCCCATCATCAGAGCAAGACAAGAGATCTTCTATTGGTGCAAGAAATAATTTCAAGAAAGGCAGAAGTTCCCTAAAATAATTCTGTAATGTGAATCTGGTTATGGCCAAAACAAAAGAGAGCATTCAAAGCCACTTTATCAAGGCAATGGAAAACCAAGATTTTCTCTTTATGTCTTCTCATGGAGGAAGTATAACCTCTACAGCTGTTGAGAATTCAGCTTTTAAGTGTTTTAAACAGTACACAGTGTACAACACTGTAACTAGATAGATGAGAAAGGAAAGTAACTCCTGTAGTCCTATGCTGCCAGTTGGTCTGTTCCAGTCGATATGGAGCCTAAATATTTTCACATGTACCTCAGATTAATCTCAAGGCTGGTTTGAATTTCTTCATTCAGCTCTGTGGCCTGTTTTGATTGGAAACCTAAGCAGGCACTTTATCTACCCAGCTGTGTATGCAGAAGAAGCTGAGGGAAATTACATCAAGAAATTTGAATGCCACTAATGGGCCCTTCTTTTTTCTTGGTTCAGGGCAAACTGGCTCTGCAACAGCAAAGAACAATCACAGCAGAGACTGCTTGTTAATAGGGAAGGATGCCTCATTGTTTACATTATTGGGAACCAAACAGTTGAACATCTGCGTTATAGCATAACAGAGTAATGTTAGAGCAGCTCATATCAGTAATGGCAGTTATGGACTCAAGTCAAATGATTCTTAATAAGTTACATGAAACTTTAGTAGTAGAAATGTAGACAAGGCTGTCTCATGGAAACCTCTGATGAACTGAATGAAAGTAGTACTTATTAACTCCTTTTTCTAGAGCCACTTGAGGCTCTAGAAAAGTAAGTATATATTGTTCAAAGTGAGTTTGGACACAAAAAATTAGAAATGCCAGTGTGTTTGAAAATATTGCTTACTTTTGATCATGATCCATTGTAATCCTGACTATGAATACCTTCCCTCCCCGTCCTCCCTCATTGAAACTATAAAAATATTTTATACGTTTTCCTAATATTTTTTTTTCTCCATGTGATTCATTGTTCCTTTTCCTTCTCCATCAGAATACAGTAACAGAACAGTTGCAGAAGGGTTATGCCAAGGACCAGATCTACACTTATGTTGGGGATATTCTCATCGCTGTCAATCCATTTCGGAACATAGATATTTATTCTTCACAGGTATGAAAATTATATTAGGTTTCATTATTTTAAACTAGCACCAATTTCCACTAAAATATAAATATTTGTGTTAAGTATAAAGTAAGACCATTTTTGAGATTTATTTTAGCTTACTCTGAAAAACAGAATTACCAGTAGAGATGTTCTTTCAAGTGTACATTGACACACATTCTTAACACTTGATGAATTTCAGCACAGAAATGAGAAATTCCAAAAGAATTAATTTCTAGTGTCTTTATGCCTACAGTGTAGATCACGCACAAAGCAATTGTGGAAAATGTTAACTTTTGTGAATCTGTCTCCTCATTATACAAAAGGGAATTTGTCTTCTTATTATACAAAAGGGGAAAGATACTAAAATCAGATCATAAAATAATTTGGAGTTATTAATTATCAGATACTACAGGTACAGAAAAGATCTCAAGTTTTAACATCAATATCATGCGGAGATACTAATAGGAAAGGAAGCACAAATAAATTTAAATAAGTTGGAAATATGATGTCTGACAAAAATAAATTTTCTCATAATAAATTGAGTTTCATAGTGTAATCAGGACTAAAATTATAGAAAATTGCCCTTCGTTTTTTTAGCAGTTCTTATAGTCCTGAGTGCATACAGATTCATGGTATAGTGAGTGCAGTAACAGCTCCTTCAGAAAACATCACTGCTGGAAACCTCAGCATGCTGTGCACTAACCTAAAAATAAAGCCAAACTTTAATTTTAAAAAAAAGTTTTTAAAGAACAGTGATAATGTTTTTATTTTTCTTACACTTAGCATTCCAAACTGTATATTGGAGCCAAGCGGACTGCCAACCCTCCTCACATTTTCGCTGTTGCTGACATAGGCTACCAGTCCATGGTGACATACAACTCTGATCAGGTATAGATGAGGTGCCTAATTACCTCCTCTGCCAGGCTGAGAGATATGTGATGAGCTCAGTCTTGCTCTTTTCTCTGCAGTGTATTGTTATTTCTGGAGAAAGTGGAGCTGGCAAGACGCAAAGTGCCCATCTGCTGGTTCAGCAGCTCACTGTCCTGGGCAAGGTAAGTGGCAGAGGGGATGTCTCTGTAAGGCTGTGCTGTCATGGGCCTAAAGGGCTGAACCTATGGACAGGGCATTGGTGGTGGGGTGAGACTGTTACACATTTTCCAAAGAACATTGGAACGTGTTGCCAATCTATCTACTCCTTCACCCCCCTGAACTAGGGTCACTGGAGGATATGCTGGGCTTTCCACAGGGAAAAGTACCCACTGCAGTGAGGGCTGTGACTTAGTCAGATCCCTGTTTGAGTGAGTGCCTCCAATCACCCAAGGAGTACCAAATAAAACCCTCTTCTAGCTTCTCATCCTTCCACAACCAGATTGCTGTCAGTGGGACATCGTCATTCTGGGAAGTGGCCACCATAACTGTCCAAACAAAATACATTTTTTTCCATGCCCCAGGAGAGATGAAAGCAAAACTAATGGATTGGTAGGGTTCAGTGGAGCAGTAATCAGATGCTAACATGGATCCTAAAAGAAGATTGGCCATTTCAGAACCACAGAAACCACAGAAATTCATTGGTAGTGTTGTTATCATTATGTGTGTTATCTCTTCCAGTCAGCCTTATTTCTGAAGATTGCTATATTCTGACAGATTTCATTTTTTATATATATGTATATATATGCCTTTCTCTCCATATAATTCCCATGGGAATGGCTGCCCTGATTATGTCACACTTCACAATACCAATGAGAAGATTAAAGAAATGCCTAAAAATGTCGGTATTTGAATAATTACTCATAATTTGAAGCAATGTCTTTTTCATATCCAGGCTAATAACAGGACTCTGCAGGAGAAGATTCTCCAGGTGAACAACCTTGTAGAAGCATTTGGGAATGCAGGCACCATTATCAATGATAACTCAAGCAGATTTGGAAAATATTTGGAAATGAAATTCACTTGTGGTGGCACTGTAGTAGGAGCTCAGATTTCAGAGTACCTCCTTGAAAAATCCAGAGTTGTCCACCAGGCAGTGTAAGTATGAGAATTGTATTTGACCTAATTCGAGGGTTACAGAGTAGGCTTACGATACAGGAAATCACCTTGGTTCAAAACACAAAGATGAATAAGGTACCTGGAATTTTTTTCTTAAAAGTTGTATATGAATAGCTTATAAATCTGTAAGCTAGCTGAAAACAGCTTCAGATTTTCTTTTTCATTGCCCCCTGGGTTATTTAAACAAATCTTATGCCTATGTGATATATAAAATAAGAATGTGTAAAGGCTTAAAAACTTTCTCATAGTTCAGGTACACATTTTTTTGTGGGATTTTGGAACACTGTGTTAAGTATATCACTTGGATTTACTTCCTCTAGTAATGTAGTTTATTTCTTTGTTTGCTTGTTTTCCATTTTGGAGCATCTAGTAGAATTTGCTTATAGAGAGTTATAGGCCAAAGATCCCTCCCAAGAAGGACTTGGGGGTGGATGAGAGGCTGGACACGACCCAGCCATGGGCACTCCCAGGCCAGAAAGCCAAATGTGTCCTGGGCTGTATCCAAAGCAGTGTGGGCAGCTGGTCAAGGGGGGAGCTCTGCCCCTCTGCCCTGCTTTGGTGAGACCCCACCTGCAGTGCTGCTTCCAGCTCTGGGGTCCCCACTGAAGGAAATATGCGCACTTGTTGGAGAAATTCCAGAGAAGGCCACCATTAGAGGGATGAAGCACCTCTCCTATAAGGAACAGCTTGTTCCTTATAATTTGGGATTGTTCAGCCTATAGAGGAGAAGGCTTTGGGGTGACCAAATTGCCACCTTCCACCCGAAGGGAGCCTGTGAGAAAGATGGAGAGAGGAGAGAGACTTTTTGCAAGAACATGTAGTAACAGGACAAAGGGCAATGGATTTAAACTGAGAGAGAGTAGGTTTAGATTGGATATTAGAAAGAAATTCTTTAGTATGAGGATGGTGAGGCACTGGCACAGGTTGCCCAGAGAAGCTGTGGTTGCCCCATCCCTGGCAGTGCTCAAGCCAGGCTGGATGGGTCTCTGAGCAACCCGGTCTAGTGAAAGGTGTCCCTGCCCATGACAGGGGAGTTGAAACTAGATGATCCTTAAGGTCCCTCCCAACCCAAGACATTCTATGGTTCTATGATCTGATGGTGCCCCTGAGACACACACCTAAGCTCATGCACACAGCAGGGGTTTGAGCACAACTCCTTTTTGCCATTTCAGTAGTGACTGACTTGGGCATCTCAGGGCTCAGTTGTGGTTGAAAATTTTCATCTAATTCTTTCTCACTAGGAGCACAGGAACCTTGAATGTGTAATAAACCTCTGTCCTAGGTTTGGGCAATAAGCTTCTAGGCAAAGCTTGCCAAGTCATGAGGCCCTTTTGCTGAATGTCTGCTTCTTGGTTCAGGGCTAAAGGACACAACAGACCTGATGCATTCAGTGAACCAGGAGTGTATTCCTCTCCCACAGTCAGAAGATTTTTTTAAAGAGTTCAGCAGCCCATTCAGTGTAGGTGGGTGAGAAATGTGCAAGATCTCACATAGCATCTACCAATTGCATCAAGGGCAAAGCAGCACTGAGCTGCTTTAGCACCAAGCAGCCACCCTGGCAGTGTCAGGACAAACACACAATGGCATGAAAAGGGTATTCACGGGAAGTTCTATAATAAAGCTTCTTTCAGAGTCTTCTGTCAGTTTGTGTGAATCTTGCCTGTTATTAATATAACATTTAGTAATAGTATGTGTGTCACCAGTTAAATGTAGCATGGTTATATTACTAAATCAGTTTGTTGTTTCTGTTGTTTCAGAGGAGAGAAAAATTTCCATATTTTTTATTATATTTATGCTGGTCTTGCTGAAAAGAAAAAACTGGCACATTATAAACTGCCAGAATATAGACCTCCCAGGTAATGCAGTTTATTTTTGCATAAATTGATTACTAAGAAATGCAATGTTGAATTCTCAGCCTCATTTATATTCTAACTCTGTATCCATCAACTTTTTCAGATATCTGCAAAATGATCATTTCAGAATAGTGCAAGATTTCATGAACAATAGCTTTTATAAGTCTCAGTTTGAATTAATAGAACAGTGCTTCAAAGTCATAGGTTTTACACTGGAGGTGAGTGCTGATAACCCTTTTCCTTTGTGAACTTCACCAGCTACCTCAGGAAAAACTTATATAAAGCATTCAAATCTCCCTTGTTATTTTCTTCCTTTAGCAGTATTGTGTTTATGTTTTAGGATCTTGCACGGTCAACTTACTGTTGTAAAGTAACATTTAAATTTTTAGGGTTTCAATGCATTGATAAACCAATAAAATGGTATTAGTCAACAAGACTTTGAAATCAGTGAACACAGCACAGCTGAGTAATTGGGTGGGGAGAAGATTTTAAAAAGTTTAATGCATAGAAAATTATGCTGTAAGTGTTTATTGGCCAATAATTCTAGGCCTGTGAATATGAGCCTCATCTCAGTTTTAAGAGGAAGTCCATGGTGAGAGTTCTAAAAATTCATTGAGTTGATCTGAGTATTGATGAACTCAGTACATTTTCACAACTCCAGGGATAAAGTTGAATGAAGTTCTTAAATCCCTTTGGAGATGAATCTCATCACTAAACATTAACTGAACCCACTCTTTCTTTATGATCTCTTATCCTTTCTCAGCTAGCTGTTAAACCCATCTCCTCAGTCTATCTTCAGTAGAATTAAAATTAAAAAGGGACTGGATTTATAAAGGAAAGAAATCCCATCCTATGACATAGTTTTACCGTAAGAGGTTGTGCATCACAGGTATCACATATCTCTGATTTTATTTATAAATAATATAAATAATAGAGGTATGATCCATACAGTATCTGTGAAATACAGTACTAGTGCTGCAAAATGGATGTATGTTTTAATTTCTCTGGCAAAACTGTATGTGGTAAGGAGCTTTTCACAGAAAATTGCTCACTTCAGTTGACTATTTCTGGCTGCCCTTGATGTAAATATTTGAAATAGCTAGCAGAACAGATTTATTCGCCTATTTTGTTCCTCCATAGTCACTTTACATTAGCTTGTAGTAGCAGTGGCATTCACAGTCTTTTTTTCCTCTACATGTTATTCACAACTGCATTTAGTAATATCACACCTGTACTATCACATCCTTTCACTTGTGCTTTCACCTTTCCAGAAGCAGCATGAAAGGACATTCATGGTTCAGCACTGATAGCAGTTTTGTCACGGTACCAGAGACCTTGATAATTCCTAATTTAAAGCATGAAAAGCAGCAAGTCTGTTTTTGTTTCCAGTTCTTTTGTTCACTTGGACGGGTGGAAACAATAATCCTGATCATCCAAAAGAAGCCTTCCATACACATTGAAGATGCAGTTAGAACCAGGTCACTGGCTGCATTGTGCAGTTCTAGCATGGATCTTCACTTGATTAACTCAGCAAGCCACTGGGAGCTGAATCTGTGAAGAATTATCTACCTGTAGAACCCTGCAGATTCAGAAGCTGAGTGCCACAGGCAACCTAGCTACTTGTGAGCCCCAGCCACGTCAGCCTGCCTTGCATCCTTCTCAGGGTGGATCAGCCTGTCTGAGGCTGTGCTTGCAGGAGTGGAGGAAGAGTCTTCTTCCCCCTCTGGGGCTCTGATATCAGATACATGCTCAAAGACAATTTTTTTAGTGAAAAAAAACCCATAGGAAATTGAATTCCTTTCCTAAGTTCACTTTTTAGTAATGCAGCCTTAAACTTTGACATTCATCCTAGTGCACAGAGGAAATTCTATATAAGCAAGTTCAGTGTTTTATTAGCCGAAAGACACAGACAGAAAAAAAAATCTTCAGTTAAAATTGAGATGTAAACAAAGCTTTATTTCTTTGAAATTTGTTTTTAAGTGACTGACAGGTTTTAAAAGTAACTACTGTCAGTACTCCCTGTCTTAAGATCATACTGTTTTATTTCAGGCTGCATGGCAAAATTAGTAAGAAAGGACTGCCTGAGGGGAACAATAATTATACTGTATGAGAAAGACCAAGCCAAATTTCAAACACACTGGAAAAGGGCAGAAAAATGTCAGCAGCTATACCTATTGTACAGCATGATGGCAGAAGTTAAGCTATCCATTTCTTTGCATTTCAACTGTGTCCCTATGCTTAAAATGAAAATGAGTGCTTAATCCTAAGTAAACTGTGTGCCAATTATCCTCAGCATAATTTTTTAGAGTGACTTTACCCAGTTTGTCTTCCTGTCACTGAAATCACCATTTATTAACTGCTAGATTAACTTCTGAAAGTGTTGAAAACAAGCTCAAGTAGTCTAGAGCAATTAAAGATTTTAACTGAGTAAATGATGCCTGATATGGTACCAGCAAACTATTGAATAATATGGATAAAATGCTGTGCACTTAAAAAAAGTTCATTGTTACAAAATACCAATCAGATTTTCAAAACTGCTTCTTATAAAACTACTGCAAAAGTTTTTAACCTGCTATTTATAAAACATACTATTACTGTATGCCTCAAAATATACGTCAAAGACTCCTGTCTGGTTTACAAGTACACCTAGCATTTTCTGAGGAAAAAAATACTCGGATCATCAGGTATAATAATAACCATTCACCATTCAGATGAACATTTGCAGTTAAAATCTAAGTCCAGCCTTCAATGAAAGCATTATTTCACTCATTTCAAATATTATTTGGAATTCATGTATAGGCACTTAATTTACTGTATATACATCACTTGACTATCCAGAGCAATAACAGCCTTTTTCAAGACAGAGTCCCTTTTCACAGAGTCACAGAATTAACTAGGTTGGAAAAGACCTTTGAAATCATCAAGTCCAGCCTAACACCACCTTATCAACTAAACCATGGCAGAAACTCCTAAATAATTTGAAATCTAAATTTGTTTAAGCAAAGTCCATATTAAGATGCTTTGGTGAGTTCCTAACTGACATTCTGAAGGGTAAAGTGCCTTGCCAAATCAGAGATGTGAGACCTCGCTCTTCTCCCAGTGAAACCGATGACATTGGTGGGAGATGATATAAACCCATTATTATGAGTGCCTTTATTATCATGATGCAATGAACATCAGTGCAGATTTTCTTTTTTTAATTTTTGTTGATCTAGGTATTAAATTTTTAGACATGTTTGCATCTGCAGGAACAGTGAAGGGTAGATATAAATAACCTCTGAATTCTGTGTAAGAGGGTATGCACACCACTGTTTTTGCTTTCCTTACTTCGTGTCAATCCTGTCAACAAGTGCAGAAGAGAGCTAAGGTTTGACTTGCCATTTTTGACTGTCTTACTCTTGAAAGACTTTGCTAAGCACAGAATAGGAATAATTAATAAATAATAAAAAGTAGTGGGCACGTGGCAGACAGCAGGAAGCAACACACATGCATATGCCCACACAGACCACAGAGGCAAATTACCTGGCTATTAAGTATTGCAATTTTTTAAATATATTTTTCAGGAACTTGGAAGTGTGTACAGTGTCCTGGCTGCCATTTTAAATGTGGGTAACATTGAATTTTCTGCAGTAGTATCTGAACATATGATTGACAAGAGCAACATTTCCAATCCAGTAGCCCTTGAGAACTGTGAGTGGGTTTGGTTTTTTCTCTTGATTTAACATTGTTTTTCTTTAGTGTTTTCATGGCAAATTTATTTTATTGTAAGAGAGGTATCAATGAAAACTGTATTCACATGGAAATTCTGCAAGGACAATTTAAAACTGAAGGTAGATTAATTCTAAGCCCACCTGAATTCAAATGCAAAAAAGGAAAAAAATTTCCGTGTTATGCATCTTATTGACTAGCCTGTTCACTGGCATGCAGGAAACATGACTAATACTGCAGATGCCTGAAAAAAAATCTTTGGAAATTTTCCAAGGTTATTTGAACATTTGATGGAGAACCTCATTAACACATTGAATAGTTTTTTCCCAGTTTCTTTCTCAGCTGCTCATTACTTGTTCCCCACGTGTGCCTGTGGAAATGTGGCTCACTAATTCTTTGGAAGGGATACCTTACATTATAAGCTTCTGGGAGGTAGAGGAGACAAAGGGGCAAAGATCTCCAGAAATTTGCTACACTTTCTCAGTGTTTCTCAGTAATTACACCTGGGGAGATAATGAAGTCTTCACACTATCTTCTTGCATGTTTTCTTGCCATAGAAAAATATTGTAGAACTGGGAAAGAAGCACCCCTTTTTTGGAGCAAAAGGAGAACAGCAGTGACTTGTATGAGTGGGTTACAGCTGAGAGGGGGATTCACACCTCACAAGTTGGGCACTTCTTACATAGTCACCTTCCAAACTCTGAGTTGTGCCTGTGACATTCCTTCCCAGGCGCATCCCTGCTGTGTATTCAGGCAGATGAATTGCAAGAGGCCCTCACCTCTCACTGTGTAGTGACTCGAGGAGAAACAATTATTCGTCCCAACACTGTGGAAAAAGCCACTGATGTCAGAGATGCCATGGCCAAAGCACTGTATGGGCGCCTCTTCAGCTGGATAGTCAATCGCATCAACACTTTACTCAAACCTGACAAGCATTTAAGGTAAAAGGACATTTTGCAGAATAAAGAGATATTTTTTCTGTAGGAATAATATTGTCTTACACTAGAGCATTTAGTGTAGTTGAGTTCCTTTTCTCTGCTGTTTTTTTTGTTTATGATTCCACCATGTCGAAAATGGTTTGTCCTGTTCATAGTATATAATGAAAATACAGTAAATATGGTTGGTAAAAGCATCCCATGTTTTCCTGTTGATTGTTACTCATTTAACCGTTTCTTGTTCTTTTGTATTTTTAACCCTTTTAACTTTTAACCCTTTTTCTTTTGTATTTTTTCAGAGTAAACTTTTGATATTCATCATGCTGATTACATAGGTCAAAATCTGGTCTTATTTACACTGATGCTGTTGTTTTTACTGTTATTATCAGCTGCCACTGTTATTATCAGCATGGTTTCATATATGCTTGGGAATAATTTTCAAACACATTTAATGAAGGTATTGTCCGCTTTGCACTTACCAGGTGACATTCTAAACACCATATCAATAACAAATAGCTTTGGTTTGCAGATCAGGATTTCCTGGATTTTTTCTTCTTAAATATCAGAGGAGAGTCAAGGTTGTAATCCTAAAATTTATCTAAAGTTTTAAGTATTTGGTTACACCAGAGCAACAATAAACAGAACTTCAATCAGTAAGTGACAGGATAAAATCCATGATAGATGGGGCAGAACTTCTAGCCCATGTTCCTCTCTCACTTTTCTGTTACAGAGCCCTTTTCAAACTGAATGCTTACTTATGCTGGTGAGGAGGGAGAAAATTCAACCTGAAATGCTCTTTGTAAAAAAAAACCCAAACAATTTGCTTGATTTTGTGGCAGTAAAATTATTTGCATTTTCTATTTTTATGTAATTAGCTCTGAAAAAGGAATGAGGCAGATAAATTTTAGCAGTCTATTCATCAAAAATGTAATTTTGAGACAGATGAAATAGTCACCAAATTCAGATCCCTCCACAATGAAATGCTTCCTTTTTTGAGATGGACTTCACAAAGAGGTTTAAGTACTATTCATGGGTGTCTTGAGGCCGATTCTTAATTTCTGATTTCCTAAATCTTTATTAAAAAAATGGTTACAGATAGCCCCTCAAAGAGGTTTTATAGAAGGAATGAGATTTACATTTTACTTGCCTAGAAAAGACACTAGTGTCAGCCTCACTGTTATAAAATTGTATACTCTTAATTTTTTGCTTAAGCAAAAAACATTAGCGCTTTTTTCCAGTTGCAGAAGTGGTCACATATCTTCAATATGCCTTGTTTAAAGTATCAACCCAAAGTTTTTCCAGTGCTTCTCTGGAATTTGTTTGGTAACTTAAATTCATACAACATCCCAGTGCGTAAAGTAGTTATTTAGCTGCATAAAAGGTCTAGCTAGTCATTCTTGCTACTTTAATGTTAAACTAAGCAATTTTAAGTGTTATGAGTAAATAATATGAAGAAATAATAGTCTTTAATTTCAGGATGCTGGTGAGTAAAGACTGTGTTACTACAAGAGAAACAAAAAGAACTGCATGTTCTTTCTGTACTGTAGTCAGCTTTTGAGAATAATCACTTACAAACATTAGTGTAAAATTAAAATTGTAAATCCTCTAATCACTTATCAGTTGACTTGGTTGTTGTGTGATTCAATATATCTGGTCTGTATTGCAGTAATCTTCAAATTGATCTGCATTTATGTATCTCAAACTAACAAGTGTCATTTTAAGAGATATCTGGTCCAGAAAATCTTATCCTGTGTAGCTGGTGTACAGATTTGGCCCATGATTTACTTTTATGAAATAATAATGAAGGTAGTTAATGTAAAATAAAGATACAACAATGAAAATTATATTTCATCTTTGCAGTGAAAATGATGATGGCTTGAATATTGGAATTCTTGACATCTTTGGCTTTGAGAATTTCAAAAAAAATTCTTTTGAACAGCTGTGTATCAACATTGCCAATGAACAAATTCAATTCTACTTCAATCAACATGTCTTTGCCTGGGAACAGGTATGTATTGATTATTTTGGTGCAGCTTTAGTATTACTCAACATATAGAACCTTGTCTTAAGAAACTACATTGTTCCTTCTCCATAATAGTAGGTAGATCCTTCTCTGTAAATAGTAGATTATAAAAGGAGTTTTTTAAAGTACATTTTACATGAAGCAATGCTTGCTATTTGCAAGTAAAATGCCAACATAAAATGCATTAAACTTGAAATTTACAGTAACTAAGCAACATAACACTGTGATAATCTGATTGATGCAAATGTAATGCTGTTTTCTTGAGGAATAATAATGAGTGTTGTAATGTATGATTCTCTGGTAAAAAAGTAAATGAGTGGTAACAAAATTTTGAAAGTGCGGTGTTCATAATAGTTTACTAATAAGGTTAATGAACACTGAAATTCCATTATTAAAAACTGCAAATCTCACAATTATTTTGTTCTTCTTGAGAAACTCAATCATCTCAGCTAAATAATGATGGATTTAATTTAAATAATTTATTGTAAAGCAGAGAAAAGGAATAGCATTGTAAATATAAAACCTAATGAATTTGAAGAGGAGAGGGAAAAACTTAAAAAAAATCATCTCAACTTTGTAAATAATTCCAGAAGAATTAAAATAACCACCTTTTAATCACTATTAAATATTGTTATTTGAAGAAATAACATGTTCAGGGAAAAAAAATGTTCTTGCTGAAAAATGAAATATTTCAGAATTCTCTATGGCAGAACAGTCAGAATTCAAACCATAGGTGAAATTAAACTTCTGTCGTTTTACTGAAATGATTGGTATTTATGATACATGGATGAAAATTCTCCTGAATTGTAATTTTAATTGTTAGTAGAAACAGAGTATTTTGTCAGTGTTAATCACTATTTGTTTTAAGGATGAGACAGATACAGGTTTGTAATGTGTCCGTGTATGCAGATGTGTACATGCATGTGTCAGTACAGAGTTTTATCTATTTATGTGTAATACTACAATTTATTATTTTATGCCTCAATGTTTTATCCTCTTCCCAATTATTTCAGGAAATGTTGTCTTGCACTCTTGTATCTTGTAGTTGTTTTTACAGATTTATTTGCAACATTATCAACATAAGTGTTTCCTTGGTTTTAATGTCATCTAAAAGCCAGAGTAAATTTTACTAGATTTACTGTAATTACTTAGTCATCTTCTTTCCAAAGTACACAAGTTCACAAAAGAAGGGCACTTGTTTGTGCCCTTCTAGAGGAAGCTAGAAGCTGTTCCTAACAGCTGGGAGATGGAAATAGCACAGACTGCAGCAACAGTATTTATTCCTGTCAAACCCAGGCACTTGAGTATGTCTGCTTTGCTTAAATATTCACTAACTTGATCCTCCTGTGCTAAGTTTAAGTGTTCCTCGCTCCAGACTTTTCCCCTGGTCTCAGGGACCTGGGATTATCAGTCAAGACTGATGCAAAGAAGGCATTGAATATCTCAGCCTTTTCCATGTCATCGACAAACTTCTTCAGCAGCAGGACCACATTCTCCCTAGTTGCCTTTTGTTGCTGAGGAACCAGCCTTGGCTTTCCTAGCCCTATTCCTGTACACCCAAATATCATCTTAATGTTCCTTCTCCTTTTAAATTAGGGTCAAGTTCAGTGTAATCTGCCTTTACTTGTTTCTAGGCATCCTGTTACAGAACTTTTTGGCCAGACCTATATTAATGCAGAGGTTTGTGGTGTCACCATGTAGTAGGAACAGTTTCCTCTCTTGCATGTGCCTTGCTGCACCATGGTCAGGGCGGTTATTCTGCTACTAAGCAGATGAGCAGCAGATGAGATGTGGGAAATTAGTACAACTACAGACTCTATGGAAGGGGAAGCTAATCTTTATTTACAGAATCTCTAAGTACATCCATTTTACCCACTTCCATTCATTCTCTCATAGATTCATTGACTCACAGATACATAGAATGCACCATGGTGTGGGTGTGTGTGTTCATATGGTCTGGCCAAGAAAATTTGTGAGTGACACATAGAATAATGGACACCAGCTGTGGCAAGTCTTCATCATGTCTGTTAGGTTCTTCTTGCTGAAATAGCTTTTGGACATGTCTTTTACAGCCTTTAGCAATGGTTCTTTTTATCAATCCCTTATTTACTTCAGCATCCATAATCTTTAGGCAAGGTCATTATCTGGCTTTACTTGTTGGGAATATATACATTTTTATGCCTACAGTCCATTTCCTTGGCGGGCTCGTAAGAAGATTGTGTGTGATGTGCTATAACCTCATAGTCATGCTCCTGCTGACAGGTTTAGAGGGTGTTCCACTCGCTAACTCTCTGCACTGTGTTTTTATGTAAGTGAAGGCCGCCTGTTCTTGATGTAGGGATCTCTTTCCTCAGTTTTATTGTTATGAACAAATGTTCTTCATTCAAATAACAAGCTATCACAAGGCTATTCTTTTAAGACTATTTTTTCTGGTGCTTATATACACATTCCCATTCATATTTCATTTATACCAGTCCTTATATTTCTATAACAAGTGTCCACATCTAGCCTGTAATACCAACCCTCTACCTTAATTTACATCAAACCACTACATCAGATTATATCAAACTTCATTATATTGTCTTGTAGCAGTCTCCAAAGGTACTACTACAGCAGTGCAGAAGAAGCTATATAGATAAACTTCACTCAAGTGTGGGTGTAAATCTCCCCCTTTCAGAGATGGGAAATCAGAAATGTGTTATTCTGCATTACAACCCAATGGCACAGAATGATTTGTGGTATGATTCATAGTCATTATAAGACATCACTTTTCAGTTATTTGTTACATGGTTGTCCCAGTTTTAAATCACAAAAACAGCCTTTGAGAAAGCTTCAGGTGGCTTCAGAATCCTTTCTGTTCACTGTAAGAACTCTCCTGTGTTGACACCAGTAATGTACTTTAATTGTAAATTAAAATAAAAAATATCACTGATGTAAAAAAAAACATTAGGATGACCTTTGCCCTTTGCTGATGTATCTGCCTGACTTTACAAATGACTTTATATGCAAGGGTTTGTGTCTTAGACTCTAAAAGATAGAAGTTATGTTTATGGGAAGACTGATGGCAGAAGTCACCAAGACCTTTGTGCTGACTTTCCATTAGCCCTGACTGTTGTGCTGCTGGAGCTGTCCTGCTCCTGTCACTGGGGACCCAAGCTAGTGTTCTTCACAGCCCTGTGCAGTGCCAGCCAGACAGACAGATGTCAGACTGCCCTCTGCTACCTCAGAAATCTGTAGCACAACACTGCATTGAACCCTATAGATCTACCCATGGAAGACAGAAAAATTTAAACTCTTTTACACTTCCCTCAAGAGATGTAAAATGTACAGATACATTTCTTTTTCATTCCCCTCCCTGTTTTTTCCCTCTTCAATACCATATCACATGCACTTTGATGAAATTTGACATATCTAGTGGGAAATTGAGATCTAAATCAGTTGATGATAGTTTGGTGTGTCATTAACTCATGTTCACCTAGTAAGTAGTGATTATGTCATCAGAGAAGGTGAATCATATTTTGGCAACTTGACCAATGAAGCCAAGTAGTAAATACACTCATAAGGAGGAATTGTACTTTCAGTGTTGCAGGTGACATTGTTTTATCGTTGTCAGTGGTCTCTTTTCTATATCTGAATCTGAAAAATGTTCAGTTTTGCTTTCCTTGAAAGTGTGGCCTACCAAAAAAAAAAAAAAAAAAAAAAAGCCACATTCTTTTTAGTGACAGGGGTTGAAGGGGTTGAAGAAAGGAACAGTGATACTGACACAACCTGAGGCTCAGGGTAGAGTGGAGTGTGTGTAGGCCAACATGGAAAAATACAGTCATAATTAAGAGAATTTATTCTTTATTGTTGACTTACTGTTTGCATTTGAGAATAAAAGGGTTTAGGCCTGAATGCAATCTCCTTCCACTAAGGTAACAGAAAGACTCAAGTGGGCATACAGTTTAAGGTAAAAATAGTGCAGATTCCCCGTAGTCAATGGAGACAAATAAATATATCCCTGTCTCTACTGACTGTGGAGAGAATGTGGCCTCTCAAGTTTGTCACTGCTTTTAGTTTTCCTAGCACAAGGGGATTTTTTGTTAATATAAAGCAAAGCAGAAGTTTTGGACCTTCAGTCCTGTCCTTCAAGGTGTTCCCCTTACTTATTAGATACTGATGTAAGTTAATTTCTGTCAGTGCCGTGATCTGCAGCTCACGTTGTCCAGCAAGACAGCCTTCCCATTCCTTTTTCATTTGTCATTCCCCCATAAGAAGTAAAATGTGTAATTGCAGATAGCTAAAAGGTTTTGTAAAGTAGCAAGTTTGCTGTCAGTTGGGAGGATGATACTTTTTGCATTAAATGTATGCAATGTTTATTTTACATTCTCATGACAATTTAATCTTATAGTTTCAGCTGGAAAAGGTCCCTTCTGAGTAAGTCTCTGGTGTCCCCATTTAAACCAAAGTGTCATCATAAAATGTTCATGGCAAAATGGCATTACTTCATTAAACATGAAGATAATTTCCTAATGTATTTAGTAATTCTTTTGTTACCATTGAAACCAGGTGCTATACCTAATGTTACATAGTTTTTTGATCATAGGAAAGACACCATAAAATACCAAGATGAGATAGGAGCCCCATTAATAGTGTAACTCAATTTTTCCTTTTGACATCCCAACCACAGGAATACTTTCTAATGGATTATGCTTTAGAATTTCAAGAAGTAACTATTTTGTAGAGATTTCTTGTCACAAAATGTCATGGAAGATTACAAAATCCTGTAACTGATTCATCTTATTAATTCAAATAATACCTATTTCATTACAGTTTTATGATGTCCATCATTAAAGCTTTTATACTTGCTGCTTGTATCCTAATGATGTGGTTGAAACCAGCACTGCATCAGAAAATGCAGTACAGTATAATTTCTGAGTCATCTGTCACATTGGTGCCTGGCTTGGTCATCAGCTGTCCTTCAGGAGCCCGTGGGAAGTGATGAACTCCTTCATGTCCTACTGGGCAGATGGCAGCACTTCCCAGACTGTCAGGGCTGACACTGGTGCAGTTGTTGAGACACAAAGGACACAGACTGAGTGGTCACATACACTGCAGGCCTGGAGCTCAGGCCCTGTGTGCTGCCTGGGCAGCTGTTGCTGTTATAGCGCAGTAGTACAGCTACTGAGAGTTCCTTTCTTTGTCAAGGAGAACACTTTCATCAGCTCTCTGAACCAGCCTCTCTCACAAGCATTTGAAATTGGAAAAGGTTTATGATTAGACAGGTTGGTTGTGAGAGCTCGTTTGAGGATGTTGGAGTGTCACAGTAACACCCTCCTCTGACAGACCCATCCTGAGCAGTCTCTTCCCCTTGCCCCCTTGATAAGGGTTCTCTAGATAATCCTAAGCAGTAACAGCTAGTTCCAGGAACATCTGTGTGTCAGTGCAGCTGTAACCCTCAGTTAAACTGCCTCTACTCCCATGTTATCTCTGGGAGATAACACAGATTCACTCCCTTTCTGCCACCAGCTCCTACAGGTATATAATTAACTTCTCACCTATATCAGTGATACATTTATTACTCTCCTGTCTTGTCCTGCTAGTCAGGTCATTGATTAAAATAAAAAGCAAAACTCCACCTGTCCACTGCTTCAGGGGAGACACGAATGAGGTTAATGTCATGTGTCTCAAATGAGGAGACCTCTTGGGGCTGTAGATGAGATTCTTACTGATTATACCCTTGTATGGCATATAAACTGAATTATAATCTATCCTTAGAGTGAAGAGTGTTGTAGGAAATTACCATCAGTCTGGATGCTGGGAGGATTTAGGTATATATTTTGTGTCCTCTTTCGATGGATTCAAATGGATCAGCAGATTTTTATTTGTGCCTGTATTTTTAGACCAGTCTTATTGATTTTATGCCTTTGCTGTTTCTCTGAGATTAAGAGGTATGAAACAGGTGCTTTGCTGCTGTGTGTGAAACTTCTTTAAATGCTCAATATGTTGCCTTTTTCACTCATTCAGACTCAAGTGAATGACACATAAGGAGAGGTCTTCCAAGGCTAGAGGTCTTTGAACTCATTAATATTAGCCATCATTCATTTTTGTGACACTCTACTCACAACGAATTCAGGATAGCAAAACTGTGACGTTAACACCATACACGAATACAACACTTATAAAGTCCTTTCCTTTGGCAGAGGGATGATTTTTAAAGTAGATCAGAAGGTCTGTGTTTCACAGTACAGCCTGCACAGGACTGAAGACAGCCCTGGCACAACCAGGAGCATTGTGTGGTAGAAAACTGCTACTGCTTTACCTAATGCAAGGAAAAAATAATGGGGGGATGGCAGTCCCTAGAGCAACCTTCTCTTGGTAAAGCTACAGCTGTCCTCTGCCTTGCTAAAGGATTAAGGAAGGTCATTCTTGTGTTCTCCAGCTATAATCTAAATTATATTCAAGACAAAACCATCACAACACACTGTGGACACATTTGTTATTTGTTTTTTCTTAGTCTGGGAGGAATCCAGAGATATTTGTAGTCTTCAGGAGGAAACCAGCCAGACCAAACCAAACAAAAAAAGCAAACAAAGAAGTCCATCCCTCCAGTTTTCCTGTTGTTTTTAAATCTTGGGGAATACCTTTCCCTAGTTCCTTAAAATGAGTGAAAATGTGTTAGAGGCAAATCTGAGGTAATTTATTTAGTTCTTCGGATGTACACAATTCTTTAATTTTTAAAAAGTATGTGCACCTTTCTTCTCCACCTAAGAATTTTTCCAGGTGTTTGAGGAGGGTGATCAAACAAGTAAAACCACTGGAACCTTTTGTAGTAGTCACTTTTGTAACTCAGGTTAGTCACAAATCTTAGCCATCACTTAGATCTGAGCAATGAATTGGGAATGTAAATATAGGTCTAAATGGTTAAGAAATTTTCTACATTTCAGACCAGGGAAGAATCAACCCTGAGGTCTCTATTTGCAAGCAGTATATTTTATCTTCTTCAACTCTGTTTCTTTAATTTTTGCTATTCCTGTAAAGTGCCTTACTTTACCAAATATGCCATAGGAGTATTGAACTTACATGTTCAAAACCAAAATCCCAGCTGACATTTGTTTCTGCAAAACCTTGATGTCTTTAGCCCTGAGGCATGCTTTCTCATGTAGCTTTAATTTGCTACAATTGACAGTTTGTGAATTATTTCCTGAAGTGCTTCTGCATACACAGACAAAGCATGCCTTCTGTTTCTTGATGCAGAATGAATACCTTTATGAAGGTGTTGATGCAAGAGTTATAGAATATGAGGACAACAGGCCCCTCCTAGATATGTTCCTGCAGAAACCAATGGGTTTATTGTCTTTGCTGGATGAGGAAAGTCGATTCCCACAAGCAACGGATCAGACACTTGTGGGTAAGTATATGGTTCATTTCAGTTTTACAGCTTGGCTTCTGTTTGGCTTGTACAGTTCAGAGTATGTGCTAGTTCTGCTTTTAGTGAGCCTCCATTTCAGTGTCACAGTGTGTTTGAGGGAGACATGCAGGCTGGGATGGTTGTGTCCTTCAAGTTCATAGGGAAACATCAAGAGTACAAATTATGTACCCCAGGGAGGTTTAGGACTTGATAACATCACATAATACCAGTTTCTGATCCAGGTTTCAAGTTCTCCTGCCTTCAGGAATTTTTTGCTGAAGAGCATGAAAAGTAAAGATCAAACTGAGTTAAAACTCTTGGTTCATAGACCAAGAACACTGTTTGCAAAGTGCAGTCATGTTCAGCTCTGATATTTTTGATGAGCAGTATCTGAGCAAGAAGTTTAATACTTTTTAAGAGTAATGTCTGCAAATATGCTTCAGTGCCTTTCAGCAAACTATGCTTTCTGAGTGTTTTCTATTCACAAATTAAAATTAAAGCACCTAAAGTCATTGTAATTCAGACCCTGAATATTTCAGTGCTGTTGAGTACCTGCAATTACCATGGACTTCATTATTTCAGTGGTACTTCTGTGCAAATAAATCCTGGTTTTACTCATTTTTGAATGTGCAAAGTGTCAGATTAGAGTTTTAGCCAACACCCAATCAGAAAACATAATAATATCCAGTAACAATGCCATGTTAAAGCAATTATATGAGCTTGTTGTTCTTTTATCCTCATGCTTTTTAGTCTACAGTACAGAAGCACTCAATCAATCAGGAAATGTTTCCTCACAACTCCTCAAGGGATCCTTAGGGAAGATTTCTGCATTGTTTCATATATTTAGATCAAAATCTTGGAAAGGCAAGCCCTGAAAGTGTTCAAAACACATGTGGGTGTGGCACCTGGGGACATGGCTTACTGGTGAACAGAGTGGTGCTGGGTTAAGGGTTGGACTCAATGATCTTTCATCTTTTCCCACCTTAATGATTCTAAGATTCCATGATTTTTTGAAGTCACACATTAAAAAATTGGAACAAAGTAAGTAACTTGTCCAAGAGCTCCCATATTCTCTATCCTTGTTACAAAACCATTATGGTATCTCTGTGTCTCTGAAAACATCAGTGTCTGTTTTATTTGTTTTTTGTCTCTGCATTGGCTGAGAAATCAGGAAATATCCCTGAGGGATACAGCTTCAGAAGAAAATGATTGTACAGTAATTCCAGTAAGATAATCTGTGTGTTTCCTTTCAGAAAAATTTGAAGATAATTTGAAATCAAAATATTTTTGGAGACCCAAAAGAGTAGATCTAACCTTTGGAATTTATCATTATGCAGGAAAGGTAAGACACACCTGATGATACTTGTTGGGGATTGTGGAATGGTTTGAAGTAGAAGAGATCACCTGGGTTGGTTCTCAACAGTTGTCTCTTCAGTCCAGGCATGAGAATGTTGGCAGTGCCTTACATATCAAAAGTAAATTGAAAAGTTATTATCTCTCATTTTAAAAAAAAAGCAATAGCAGGAATGTATTTTTTCTTAAATGTCACCAGGTAAATGAACTGACTGTATTATAGAAGACCCAAAACATAACTGGTATATAATGCACCTCAGTGCTCTTCCCCTTAGTTCTTCAAAGTCCTGCATCATGCTTGTTCCCACTGTTTCTAACCAGGACCCAGCTCCATTCTTTCTACTACCTCCCACACACCATCAGCCTTTCTTGGTGCTGTACTTTGTCACCAGCCAGGCAGAGAATGCAGGCCCTGCTGCCTTCAGTGAGCAGCATCCTTCCTTCCCGCACAGAGTGCCTGGCTGCCCGTGCTGTGCAAACACAGGAGGAGCTGCTGCTACACTGAAGCAGGATGACACTGGTCACCTTGTCTTGGGAAAGCAGGAGCTCCCACCTCCTGAGCTCTTTTAAAGGGTACAGAGTGAGCACTGATGTCTCACACAGGAAACCATGTTGGGTCTGTGCAGTGATGGAGCAGCTGGCCTGGGAAGAGACAAATACTGCCCACCAGCTGATACCTTACCCCTTGTGTAGGACAGCCAGCTACAAAGAGCCTCTTGTAACTCCTCTGAACCTCATACCCAGCTGCTATGACCAGCATAACAAAACTCACTGCAAGGAGTGGAAAGCCAGGTCTCCCTCTACCATTCCTGTTACCAGCCACTGAAGATGGGGAATTACACCAATGCCCCATCAGCATTCAACAAACTCTTTCATTAGGAAGTTTCTTCTGCTATCTAACATATGTTTCCATTGCTGCCATGGAAATTTATTACCCCTAGTCCAGTTTACTGTGGAACTGGAGAAAAATCTTCCTTTTTAAGTCTTTTTCATAATTTAAGACTGTTGCTGAGTTGTTTTATGATGGATTTTTCTAATTTATGTATCCCAGTATCTTCTACCCTTCTTGACAGATCAAGTTTTCTTGTGAATCCCTTAGACCATTGAGATAGAACCCTGAAGTTACATTTTGAATTAGGTACAACATTCTTGGAATTTTTAGAGATTTCAATTGCCAATATGCAGTTTGTGATTCTGTAAACTTCCTCTACAATTAATACAGAGATCCCTAGGAAGAGTGTTAATTCCTGGGTCCAGTACAGCATAATATGAATAGCACAGAAAGATTGTACAGTTATATGAGTAATCCTGTGTGATGTGGTTGAAATCAAGTTATTTATTGTTAATTGTGCATTAGCACATGTAGCGGTGTAAAGGAGGACTGCAAGTGCACTTGTCCTGGTGATAAATCCACACAGGTTAAAAATACTACCTGCATTAGGAAAAATAAATAGTCTCAAGCTACTTTGGAATGATCGATTTGCTTTTAGTGATTTACATCATATCTCAGTATTGGAAAAGTAGAACTTTCAGTGATTTAAAAAAAAAAAAAAGACTAGAAATGAGAGTGAGCCTGATGGCTGAAAAACTTGATCTTGATGTAATAAAAGCCCTATTCCAGAAAGCTTAAATTTACAATTACTTTTCAAAACCCAAGAAAATGTATAAATGCACTTTTTAAACAGGTTCTGTATAATGCAAGTGGATTCCTAGCCAAAAATAGAGATACTCTGCCAGCTGATATTGTGTTGCTACTGCGATCATCTGAAAACAACCTGACGCGACAGCTGGTAACTCACCCTCTCACAAAAACAGGTATTGCTGTTGTGGTGATCTTAGCTTTCTCCAGCCTTCGTGATGACCACTGCTAGATTTCATATGACCACTCACTGGTGACATTATACATTTTGTGGCTTCACTTTCCAACCATGGAATCTATACTGAATGGAGCTGCAGCCATCTCTCATGCAGGGGAGGGATTGGTCTGGTCAAGTGCCAAGGAAGTGGCAGAGACTTCTTTCAGGGTAGGGGATCAAGAAGAGAGTGGTGTGCATCTCTTGAGTTGAGGACTGAACAGGAAGGATCAGGTAAGTCACTGGCCTGTTTTGGACAGGGCATATATTAATGTCTCAGTGCAATTTATCTCTAAGTGGTAGAGATCAAAGCCTGGGACTACTGCAAAGACTGGGAAGACACTCCTCTATTTTCAGTCTTAGAGTCCTTTACAGTAGGTAACTGATGAGGTCCTTGTAGTAAGCTCCTCCTCAAGAAATTCATAAGTAGAGGTGGATGAATAGAACTGTCTCTACAGAAATTACTCCTAAATTGCACCTTATTTGAACTATGTCCTTGCAAAGTGTCCTACCTTCCACTGCAGGATGATGGGTAAGTCTCCTTACAACCAAGTTTGTAATTGTGTTGTAGTACTCCCTGTGTGATGGCATTGATGCCATACAGTAAGTACTTTACAACATTACTTTCTTGTACAACTACATGAGAGACCTATTTCTAGCAGAACAGAAAAGCTAAATTGGAAGAGCCTGATAGAAATAAAAATGTTATCATAACTTACAGAAGCTGAGGTTTTGGCAAGGCTTCTGTTCTTTACAAAGGAAGCTTTTCTAATAGAATGCAAAATTTGGTCTTGGAATCTTATTTTAAGTGTGTGTTCCTGGAAGAGCACAGAGCTCAATGCCCTTGCCTGAGCTTTTTGACTTGTTGATATCTGCTAATACACTTCCATAGAGTCCAAGTAAGCATCCAGATGGTTCCAAGAACTGATCCCAAGTCCTAGTGTTTTGCAAGATAATTCTGAAGTCTTCTTGTTAAATATTGTGAAGCACTGTGTGTAGCATTTCAAAACTGACTCAGACCATCCAGCTATAGCCAACTAAAAGTTAGGTTTCTGATCATGTTATTTATCTAAAATCAGAGTAATTGTAGAGGTTTACTCAAAGTCCAACCCATCTTTCCTATCTCAGTTATTTCTCGTGGGATGGGAAAAATCTCCTGTGAAGGTGTCTCTCTCCACTGAATACAGCAGGGATCCTGTAGATACCTCACTATCAGATAGCTAAAGTTAGCTGTGAGTAATCCTCTCTTTCCTTCCCCCCGCCCCCATGATATTCAGCTGAACCCCAGGGAGGTTTAGGCCTTGATATCATCACATAATACCAGATGCATTACCATGACACATATTTGCAGCTGTTATTCCAACTTTTATCCACCTCTTTCTGATAGTAGCTGAGCACAGAGAGAGATAGGCTGTCCCAGTGGAGAGGGAGATCCCAGAGGTGTTATGTTATTAGCAGAAGCAGTGGCAGCATGCAGCAATGGTTAGTGTTTATCAACACAGAGAGACATGATGGAAAGCTCAGCAGAATTTTCATTATTCCTTGAAAAGACCAGTGTCTGTGTAAAGCATGCCAATGCACCTAGTCCATCAAAGTCATCATAATGAAAGTATTTCTTGACTTAGAATTCCAGAGTTAGAGCCTTAAGATTTTGTCTGTGCTAGTAAACCAAACATAGCCAGTGAACAGTAGCTGAAACCTTCCCACAGGGCTGCTCATTCTGTTTTGGGACAGTTTTGGTCCATGTAAGCTACTAGCCTCCCAGGAATACCCAGCCACACTTCAGAGAAAGGACAGGCCAGTGATGGTTTCCAGCAAGCTCTGTGGAAAGATACAACCTTATTTTCACCAGGGGGTGAAAGGGTAGTGAAGAGTAGAGTTTAGGTGTATAATCTTGAGTCATGCCACATCACTTTTCCTCAGGGCCAGAGAAGGGTATTAGCACATTTTTCTTTAACTTGTATGTAGTATTAGAACTAGAAGAGTACAATAACATTCTTAGGGTGAAACCACATGGATGCTCTAAGATCTTATCTTCTTACAGCAGTCTGTTTGTTTATTTTTTTTATCTAGTAGATGATGTATGAGCTGAAGGAGAAAAAAATCATGTTCTATGTTCATGCAACTTCTTCAGAGCTGATTCCAACCCAAGGGTTAAAAGGGAAACGAGGACATGCTCTGAAAAAGTCACCTTTATAATCATATAGTTGCACTGCGGTGTGAATGAGGTGGTTCAGGATTTTTCTTAGTTTAGATGAGATGGAAGCACTTTGGCAGGTTACTTTCTTTCATCTTCCCATAGGTAATCTGGCACACACCAAAAGCAAAACCACAATCAGTTATCAAATGTGGACCTCCCAAAAGTCAATCAGTCATACAAAGGTAAGAAAACTGATTTTGTGATTCTACATTGAAGCCTAATTTAAACTAGATAGGCAGTAGTTGTTTTGGTATTGAAAGTAAGCAAGTAACCCCTTCCTTGGTTTTTCTCCCTCTTCTATTTTCTTTTCTGTTTAGCTGGATATCTTTGTGTTGTGCAATTCATATTCCTTCCGTGAGGTAAAACCTAATGTTTCCCTTCTTTCTGGCTATAGTTTTATAACAACTTCAGGGGGGAAAAGTACTATTTCCCAGCTGTATTTTAGTGAAAAGAGAAATTAAAATATTGGTGTGGAGTATAGTCATGTTCCTTAGAGATCTATCAAATTAACAGTGATGATGAAATAACAGACAGGACTCAGACATTGTCCAGTTATTTCTGGCAGTTATTAGATGCTCTGTTTCCAACTTGTGCCCTTTGTGTGTGTGAATGTTTGTGTATTGTGTAGCAAAGTATTGGTGTAACTGATTTGTGCTTGTGATCATGCTGTAACTTTTGCTGTTTAGAATACTTTTTTAATTATTTATGTTCTCTGAGGGATGCTTTCTTAGGGCACTGGAAAGGGCACTGCAGGCTAACTAGAGATGAAAAATGTAATTTTTTTTTTCTTCATCTTTATAGAATGAAGCAGGAGATACTGGACATCATCCAAGAGAAACAACCAGCATGAAAACACAGACAGTTGCTTCTTATTTTAGAGTAAGATATCAGATCTTTTAATAAATATTTCTAGAGTACAACAAATTTTTTTATATTCTTTTGCTTCTTGAAATGCAGCTGTTGTGTCTGTGGTGATCCATTTAGAGTTTGTGAACTGCATATATGGTGCAGCAGTCTGTGCAGTACAAATACCTTGAGGAGATTGCAATGTTTCATCTTTAACTGTACTTGGTTGCACAGTCACATGTCATGATGGTGTATGATGATCAATATTAATCTTTCACTTGCTTATTCTTCCACCAAGGAAGATAAAGGGACGTAAAGGGAGATTGGACATTAGTGGTATAACATTTCTTTAAGAGTTTAAGAGGCCAAAGTTAATTGGAAGCAGGAGCTCCAGAGGAAGTTCTTGATGGTCACTGCACAGAGGCTGCCCAGAGTTCATCCTTGTGGCTCCCTCAGCAGTGCTCTGGACCTTCCCAAGCACTGCCTGTGCTGCTGGTCCTAAAATAGAAAATAGCAGTGAAGAGCATCCTTTCCTCTGAAGTGGTGCAGAGTTGGTTCTGCTCTGAATTTCTAGCTCTTGTTTAGTCATCTCTCCCAGCAAACCATGAAGTGGCTGAGGAGCTGTTCATGATGAATTGGGCGCACAGCTCAAAGGAATACTGAGTAAGTTTGCTGAGGACACTAAATTGGAGGAGCTGTCGACTCCCTTGAGGGCTCCCTGCAGAGACACCTCAACAAATGAGAGGGCTGGGCAATCACCACCCATATGACCATATGACATTTCAGAAAGTCAATGGCCAAAACCTGCACCTGGGATGGGGCAGCCCTGGTTGTGTGTAGAGAATGGGCAATTAGAGGCTGGAGAGCAGTGCCATGGAAAGGGACCTGGGGGTCCTGGTCCATGGCAAGTTGAACATGAGCCAGCAGTGCCCTGGCAGCCAGGAGGGCCAGCCCTGTCCTGGGGGGGCATCAGGCACAGCTGGGCAAGGGAGGGGATTTTCCTGCTCTGCTCTGCACTGGGACAGCCTCACCTCGAGTGCTGAGGGCAGTTCTGGGTGCCACAGTGTAAGAAAGACATGAAATCAAAGAAGAGCATCCAAAGGAGCGCCATGAGGATGGTGAAGGGTCTGGATGGGAGCCACATGAGAAGCAGCTTCTGTCCAGCCTGGAGGAGACTGAGGAGAGACCTCATTGTGGCCTTCAACAGGAAGAGGAGGGTCAGGCACTGTTCTCTTCACTCTCATGACCAGGACATAAGGAAAGGGCATGAAGCTGAGTCAGGGGAGGTTTATGTTGGATATCAGGAAAATACTCTTCACCCAGAAGGTGGCTGGGCCCTGGAACCGGCTCTCCAGGGAAATGGTCACAGCACCAAGCCTGACAGAGTTCCAGGAGTGTTTGGACAATACTCTCAGGCACATGGTGTGATTCTTGCAGCATCCTGCACAGGGCCAGGAGTTAGACTTGATGATCCTGATGAGTTCCTTCCAAGTCAGTATATTGTATGATTTTATGACCCATGGGAGTTCGCTTACATCTATTTCAGAACAATGAGGAGCCAGATCTCTCTTTTTTAGATACAGTTGCACAGCTTTGTGGATAATTCTGATATCCTGTGAAGGATAATTTCAGTTTAGGTTGATCCAAAACTGTATACTGTTCGAATATTCTAGATGGAAAAAAAAATATTGAATCTCATTCAAATTAATGTCTGTGATTCAGTGCATTATCAGCACTTCTAGCATCCGAGGCTGCAAATAAGTTAATTATGTTTGCACTTTTCTGATACTATTTTCTGTAGTGGAAATCCTTGCTCAGATCAGGATTGCTAATGCTGTTAAATGACAATTCACCTTCAGCCCCACTGGTTTGCTCATACACAGAAATCTATGGGTGACTGAGAAAAGCATATGCCACCTCAGACTGGATGGAAAAAAAGATATCCATTAGCATGTCCTACTTGTTTGTGTTCAGTTGGCACACTGGTGATGGAGCTAATTAAGCACTTTGCTGCATGGTGCAGCTTCTGTCCAAAATGGAATTGCACATTTTAATAGGAAACATATGGCTCTTGACGTCCTACACTGGTTTCATGTAACCAATGTACTGCTGAGCTGCATTACCTCCTGGCTGCTTCTTTCTGTTGAGTCAGGTTGAATCTTGAGGAATGAGCCTCTTAATTTGTGTTTTAATAAGATCCTCCCATGAACCAATTTTTCAAAATACCAGCCAAGGTTGTTTACAGTCAGATTCCCCTCTGCTGGCATGGGGAACTACAGGCTTCATCCCCTCTTCTAGCCTGGTACTCTGGTGAGCTGGGAAATATGCAACTTTGGAATTGTGATCTTCTAGCTTTGCCCTCCTCGGAAGTTTGCTCTTGGCAGGGTGGTTACTGTATCACCATCTGTCTATGATGATGATATGATCAATGAACAACATTGATCCTGATCAATGAACAGGACACACCAGATCAGAGCAGTTCAACCAGCCCTTTTTCTGGGGTAGCCTTAGCTTCCTCCAGTCTAATGAAGGAATTGAAATATTTATTGCCTTGCTCCTCTTCCACTTCCCATCCATAGATGGAGGATTTACTCTCTGGGTGAACAAGAGTCTCCAATAAAGGGAAAAATGGCTGTAATTACCTAGCAAAGCTCAGAGATAAGCAAATAAATGTAAGGAGTGTAAGTGCTCTGTCATCTGTTGGACATCATGGAAATCTGTGAGAATGTTCTGGATGAAATTTGGTACATTTATTTGGAATCAGTGTTTCTCTCAAGTAGTATACACTACTAGTTTAGAAAAGCTAGAATTTGGGTCATTTACTTCATCTACTCTTAAAGTACCAGCTTAATGAAATAGAAATGATTTTGGACATGATTCTGATAATATGAAATAAAATTCCAACTACACATGGACCTATATACAAGTTTCATAAGTATTCTGATGACAGATCTCTTGTTACTTTTTTGCAGTATTCTCTGATGGATTTGTTATCCAAAATGGTCGTTGGCCAGCCTCATTTTGTCAGGTGCATCAAGCCAAACAATGACCGGCAGGCAAACAAGTTCGACAAGGAAAAAGTGTTGGTTCAGCTGCGTTACACGGGAATTCTGGAGACAGCACGGATTCGAAGACAGGGTTATTCACATCGTATACTCTTTGCTAACTTCATAAAACGGTAACATCAATATGAAGAACCTCTTTTCTCTCCTGCAGTTGCTGTCCAGTCCTTGTTAAGCACTAGCAGTGTTTTTGGCATGGTCTTTGAAAAAAAATACAAAGACATTTCCCATGGCAAAGAAGGTTATAGACTGGATGACCAAGAGTTATTCAGGCACAAGATTAGTGACCTGTTTTCAACAAGTAGGAAAAGATAATGAATCTCAGAATGGTTTTTCAGGCTCTCTGAGCATCTGGGTAAAAATTTACTTGCTTATACTCTGCAAGTTTCTTCAAGGACTTGAATTTTAGAAATGTATTACTTCAAATTAAAGCCAAGAATTTGCAGCCACAAATCCAAGGAGCACCACAGTTCCTCTAGCTCCCAACCTTCAGCACTGTGCAGCATCTACTTGTGCAGGGTAGATAATTTGGGATTCCTAGTCTAGGGCTGAAAAGTTCATTGAGTGCATAGTGTTGTTTAAAACATAATTCCTAAGTATCAGTCACTTGTTAAAAAGCAGAGTAATGAACTCTCTGTGATTTTATTATTCCTTTAACTACCTAATTCCTCCAGCCCAAAAAATCTGTACTTTTCTTACAAAGACCCTGAGTATTTGCCTGGATCAGTACAAAAATGTGTGGAATGGAGATGAAAACTTGGGAGAAGCAAGCACCACCTATTCAGACAGAAGTACTTAAAAGAAATAGCGCACTAGAAACAGAGAGCTAGCAGCAGAGTGCTGCAGGTGCATGAGATGAGAGGGGAACAGCAAAGGCGTGTTTTTATAGACCTGTTTCTTTAAAAAATAATGCTGGAACTGTTGCTATTTTGAAAGAAAGCAGCTTTTGGAAGAGTGCAGCATGGGAAATTATAGTTACTACTACAAGATGTGCTGTAGCTTTTGGTGTCAGCTTTTTATATAAAAAAACCCTCAACTGTTCAGGTAAGATAGATAAAAGCAGTGAACACAATGAGGTAGCTCTCTAGAGAGCATGGCCCTGATTACAGTGAGGCTGTGAAGATCTCTGGCATTGAGGACATGGCCCTCAATGGAAAAAGGATTTTTATTAAATGTATGTCTTATTTTGAGTTTGGGTTTTTTTACTAGTTGAGAGTTACAGGTAGACCTGAGATAATGGCACCATTATTTGGTTATAATAAAAACAAGCCAATTGTGTTTTACAAAAAGAAAAAAAAAAAAAAAAAAGGAACTGTAGGCGATAATGAAGAAATTGACATTGTCTCTTTTTTTATTATTCCATGAGCAAACTGTTATCATCATTTAAAGCTGGTAAACCCAGGCTTTGTGTTTAAAGGCTGAATAACAAGAAAAAAAGCAGAATGTACTGTCAGGAAGCACACATAATTAATGTAATTTTCTTAAATTAAAAAATCCAAGATAGATATGGTTCATTTTGTTATAGAGCATTATGGAAAGTCCTGGAACAAGCAAGTATTTTCTATCCAGCAGCTGAACTGGTGTGTCACAGGTAATTTTTATGAGTGAGCATCGTGACCTCTTTTCCTAGTCAGAATTAATTCTGAGTAATGAGTTTGCCAGATTAAATGCTTACAGATGATGTGTCACAGTGGCACTTACATGTTCCAAAAGGATATGCAAAACTGATTCCAAGGAGCTAACAAGAGTTGGGATGCATTTCAGATCATATTAAATATCTCAAATTTAAAGATGGTCCAGCACATGAGATAAGATAGGAAATTTTCATGACATTTCTAAATATGAAATAATACAATTTAAGCAGAAAAACTTTAAAAATATATTTATTTTATTTTTATATTGACATTGAAATCCCTTTCTCCAAGTGTAGAAAGAAATGGTGTGCTACTCTACTTGGGTTGAATTCCTTTTAGAAACCTTCTGGTGTTGGTATAGAATTAAAAAACCCTCCAGGGTGTGCAATATGTCACTCATCCACTTTTGATTGAGTTTCTTAGTACTGTGTATAAATAACTGCACTTTCTTTCATATGCTGTTTTGGTTTTTTCAGTGCTATGTTTTCTTTCATGCAATTGTTTTTATTATTTAAAAGAATGGTTTAAATGTATTTGCATGTACTACCCTCCATTAATCAAATAAATAATCATGCATTTGTCTTTAGGTATTACCTCATCTGTTACAAAACAAATGATGATCCTCCAGTCAGCCCAGAGACCTGTGCTGCTATCTTGGAAAAAGCCCACCTTGACAACTGGGTTCTTGGAAAAACTAAAGTAATTTTTTACTATACTGTATCTTCATCATTCCAGTATGCCATTGTTACCATATTAAACAATTTGTTTTCTCACCCATTTGGTTGGAGTAGCTCTTGGTCTCTACTCTTTTTAAAAAGCAAAGTCCTTAATGGTCTTTAAGCAAAGTCCTGCCTGTTGTAACAGGAATGTCTTGGGGACTCTTGTGCTGGACTAATTTTTCAGGACTTACATGAGTTTCATGCTTGATAAAAGCAATTTACTAAATAAACCATGCTTTAGGTTTAAAATTTGGAAACTGAGAAATTGAAGGTTCCAGATTTGGATCATGTTTATGTAATATACATGAGATTTGTGAGGTTAACTAAACTGTCAGCCTTGTAGTTTTGAAAACAAATTTATAATTACAGACTGAAGGTTTGCACTGGAACTTTTAAAAATCTTGCCATAAAAAATTAATAAGCAGGGACTGACTGAAGATGCTGAAGAGAAGAGTAAGGTAAACTAATATCCCAAACAATGAAAATACTATCTCTAAGAATGGCCCTTAGGGTACTACAGCTGAAGGGTCTGTTCATCATTTGAAACCAACTTGTAATTCTTGTTGATGGTAAATGGATTCAGTGAATAAAGGGTTGGGAAGGTAACCAAAACTTTTGTTTCTCTTTTTAAGGTATTCCTCAAATACTATCATGTGGAGCAGCTGAATTTAATGCGGAAGGAGACAGTTGACATGATTATTTTGATTCAAGCTTATGTCAGAGGGTGGCTGGGTTCGAGGAGGTACAAAAAGATAAAGGAACAAAGGGAACAAAGTGCTATTAAAATACAGTCAGGTAATAGCTTTAAAACATTTAACATTTTGCTTAAAGCTAGTGCATGTGTATAGTTGATAGATGAATGTGCATGCTGGATGTGGATTTTGCTCCTTTCCTGCTGTTACATTTGACAAAATACCTTATACTTGGTCATATCTGTTGTTATGAAGAAAAATTTCTTTTAACCAGGTTATGACAATCTCTTTACTGAAATTACATTTATCAGTGTTACATTTAATAGGCAATTTTAAGAATAGAAAGGTGTGATTGCATAGATGATACTCTTAATAATATTCTGGCATGCACTGACAAGGCTGTATAATGTAATAATGAAAATAAAATATATTAACTGTCCTAGATAATAAGGCAAATTACCCTGTTGATGGAGGCATCAACTGATTTTTTTAATACTTTCAAACATAATCTTATTTTGCTTTCTGATTATCTTGTGTTTTATATTCATTTATTGCATAATAACTTTACTTACCAGAACATGTATTTTTATGTAGATTTACTATTTGTGCTTGTTTGCCATGTTTTTTTGAAAGATAAAGCCTGCAAAATATTTATTAATATTTTAATAGAGGTCTGTAATTCCATAATATTTTTATTCTTTTTTGTACCTAGCAGATTACCTAGTTTTTAACATCTCTTTTCAGCTTACAGGGGGTTTGTTGCTCGTAAAGAATACAAAAATGCAAAGCACAATAAAAAAATGGAAGAATATATTACCAAATTTCAAGCAAGTAAGAATTGTTTGCTTTCTTGGCTTTTAGTGTGCTATCTATACACAATATGTTGACTCAGATTCTTGCTACACTGATTGGCTATGCTCATTTGCATGTTATAACTTACCTATTACATGTCTATGCACAGTGGTTGAAATGGGTCAGTGTATTCTGTTACCTGTACCTCAGAGTGGTTCAGGCATTTTTGACTGCTGTGAGGTGGGATGCTCAAATGGCATCGCAAACCTTGTCACTCCTAGTCAGGTGTTGAAGTACTGCAGCTGCCCAGCTATGGCTATTGTTGAAACCCACATGACACTGCATATCATGTGTGTATGGGTGCTGCTCAATTAGGAATAAGGTTTGTTGCATATCAGTGATGGTTATATTTGGGAAGACTGCAAGCTGTAAATTCACTCAGGTCTCTTTGTCTTTTTTGCCATCGCTTTGTTTCTCTTTTTGCAGCCATAATGACCCTGGGCCCAGGTGTTGCTATGGGACATCCCTTTTCCCTCCCTGTACTTTGGGCTTCCCTGTCCCTGCAGAGACATCCCCAAGCTAGACACAGTCTAGGCAGCTCTGAAATCAGGAGCAGTGCAGCTGGAGAGATACAGGACTGAAGGCCAGGTTGGATGGGGCTCTGAGCAACCTGGTCTAGTGAGAGGTGTCCCTGCCCATGGCAGTGGGGTTGGAAGTAGATGATATTTAGGATCCCTTCCAACACAAACCATTCTATGATTTTATGATTCTGTAGAAACAGCTGGCACAAATCTGCACAGCATTTTCAGTAATTACAAAGGTAGCAACCCAGATATAAGCTAATGTTGCCAGTACCCAGGCTATCTAGATTTAAACTGCCTCAGATGCACCTTCTTGAGTAAATACCACCACCAGTGTTGGTTTTAGTCATTGTCAGATGTTCTGTTAATTGCACTGTTTGTACTGAAGATCACTTCACTGCAGTTGGTAGAACTTCATCAATATGGAAAACAATCTAAAACCAGCATAAAATCCAGTAATGTGCCAACAATTATTACACATCTAAACCTTGTCAATTGTATTAGGATGTTTAGCAAATGCAAAAGGATAAATTTACCTCTTCACTCTGTTGATGTTTCCCGAATGTTTCTTTTTGTCCACCTTCTCTGTCATATCTGCAGTTTCAACTTTTTCAGTGCACAAGAAACCAAAACTAAAATGAGGTCCATTTTTACTTAGCTCTCTCCATTTTCCCCCCATTTATTTCTAAAGCAATACAAAACTCCTCTTCAAGTTTGAAAACAAAGCTTAGACAGCAACTATCTCATAACAAACTTCTCAGAAAACCTCAGAAGTGAACCAAAACAATCTAAAAAGACCAGATGCAACTTATATTGGTATGTCCATTGATAACATTGATAACTTGATTTGTTTCAACTCCTGTTGAGTTCCTTTTATATGAAAATGGAAAGAGAATTGGCTTAGAAATCCAAGAAACTCAAGAAGTATTCCAAGTGCTTTACAATTTCCATTTTTCTAAGACCCTGTCAGACTGCAATATAAAATCCAATTGTGCTACTTCGTAGTATTTGTGTTTCTTTATCTTATATCCAGTTACCAAGGTGTAATTTATGCCCTTTTTATATGGTGCTTCTTACACTGATTGACTGCACCTGGTGGAGCCCAAGCTGGTCTGAGTGGGGAATGCTAAAGCACATAAAACTTAGCACTAAGTTATATGAATGTGTTGGAACAGACTGCTAATGCTCCCTTCTTATTTTCAAGAGAGCTTGACCTTTTCACTGTGATGCAAAACACTCTCAGCAGAGTTGAAGAAAGAGTCCCATATCTACCATATCCACAGGGTATTTAAATCACCTTAATCCACTATCCCCATACTCATGGTACTGCATTTGGAATTAGAGTTCAACAGAAATATTTTGACAGAACACTTTGTAAAAAAACACTTGTGTTTTTTTATTTTGCCAGGGATTAGCAGATTGTGCTGAATCCCTGGAACTGCAGTTTTGTCCAAATCACAGCACTATGGAGACTGTGCCAGTTCCCATTAGGAAATTATTTGCAAGTTCAAAAACTTTTGAAGCAACATTCTGAATGCAAATCAGTTTCTGATTAAGACACTTCAGTGTAGATGCCTAAATGTGGTCTGGGGATCTAAACTGCTCAGTAGTCAGTAGAGCCTAGGATTTGAATAATTTTATTCAAAATAAGCAAATGCTCAGCTCATTTTCCCTCATACTGGTATCTAGTGTCATTCGAGATGCCCTGGTTATCTTGTCTGGCCTCCAGCTTTCTTTCACCTGGTATACCCAACTTTTCCTGTCCAGAAAGCCCCATCTGTCCTGTTCTTTCTGCCAGCTCCATGTGCATGCCTCACTGTCCTGGAGCACTTCAGATGGCACCAGATACCAATGTGCTGGCAACTGCATCAAGGCCCAGGGACCTGTCAGCACCTACATGGCTCAGGGAAGGCCCATGTTTGAGTCCTTATTTCTGGTTCAGACCAGAAAAATAAGCTTGTGCCTTCCACAAAGCACAAGCAGGGAGTTTCTCTGCCACAGTGAACCTGGTTACTGTGGAGCTTAGCACATCTTTCCTGCTGAGTCTTTTCATTTTGAATGACGAATCTTTGCAGAAGGAACATGAGCTAAGTCCTCTGTAACTGCCGACCTATAAAATTCTCAGTTTCTCTCTGATCTATTGAACGTACAGCTAATTCCAAGCCTGTGCCAGTTGACAGCCTGGTAATCGCTACAGGCTGATAATCAGGCATTTGCCATGGAAATGAAAGACAGAGTCAAATCAATGCCTGAATCAGGCAAAACAGGTACATTAACCTCAGAGGGCTGTTCTAGAATTACTTCTATCGCTCTGTGCTTCTGTTTTATTCTGCATCTTCCTATATTTTCTTTAGTCCAACAAAATATGAAGGAAGAGCTTGTTGTATCCTCATGTAGAATGGGTACAGCTTTCTGAAATCTCAAAAAGGTTTTATGGGAATTATTTCAGATGAAACATCAGCATAAGAGGCACCCTGGTCTGTATTTCCTTATTAGCTTTTGTTTAATGCTGTTAGTATTTGACTGTCTGAAATGTATGTGACACCCATTGCTTGTTGCCTAAGGTTGTTTTGCATTACAATTTGTATCAGTTGCCAGAGGATACTTACTCAGGAAGAAGAGAAAAGAACTAACTGAAACAAGAAACAAAGCAGCAATAACAATTCAGTCTCACTACAGGGGATATAAGGAGAGGAAGGTCTTCAAAAGCAGGAGGTAGTGTTATTTTCTCTTATGTCACTCAAATGTGTCCCTCTTCAGTAATTACAGTACTGAATTACAACATTATAAGAGTGAAGTAAATTAGGATTATTCTAGATATGTATGTAGAAGTAATGTATATTTATGTGAAGGTTTTTAATGGCAGTAGCCTATTTTCTCATCTTTTCAAGCCCAAGGAATAAAGGCACATTTAGAAGAAAGATTAACAATACTGTACCTACCTGTAATGTTAATCTATAGAATTATAGAAAGGTAATCTATAGAAGAGTCTCCTTTTTGGAATTAGCTCATAATAAAAAATGTTCAGACAAGAGTGAGATAGATATCTGCAAGGAACTGTTCTCACTTTAAGTCACTGTTTGAGATAAGCAAAAGTGATGACAGAGGAAACACAGAATACCTTTAGGGTTGTGTGTATTTATACATTCTTGAGATGCTAAAAGGTTTATGCCTTATGTTTTTGTTAACATTTAAATTAATTCTTTACTGTTTTATCAGCTCTCACACAACCTAGATTGTCTTCCTGGCAATTACAGGGATGTCCCTTTTAACTTAAGAGACGGTGATGTTGATGATAATAATATCATCCCTTTTCACTTTAAGAGATAATAATAATAATAATAATAATAATAATAATAATAATATAAATTGCTATCTTCAATTTCAGCTATATGCACTAAATCTTTCCCATGTTGCAATGTATCAAATTTCCAGTCAGTACACAAAGACTGCCAAAAGTAGTTGTAAAGTTGTCTCTATTCTTCATCTCCTTCAGCTGTATTTTTTGCCCAAAACTCTGTTCCATTCAGGGAATCACTTAGAAAGCAAGAAATTGAAAATGCAGCATCCATTAGCAAGAAGGAAAATGATGAAGAACTTCAAGATCCTGAGGAAAGTCCAACTGAAGTGGAGAGTGCCCTCCCTAGAACAGAAGAAGAAGCAGCTGCCATAGCAGAGGACGAATTATCTGCTGTGGAATTCCTTGAAGCACAACTGCAGCCAGCTCAAAATGATACACTGGAAGAAGTGGCAAGCGAGGAGACTCAAGATGAACATGATGCTGTCACTGACACCAAGTGCTGTAGGTGCAGTGACACTGGGAATGTAGAGGAGCAACAGCAAACATCTACTGAAGGAGAGGCAGCTTCTGTGAAGCAGAACCTGGCAGGAGAAGAGGTTAGTGAAGGTGAAGAACAGGACTCTCTAGAAGAGTTACCCAGCAAATCTTTTGTCAAAACCTCAGCTGAACCTAGACTCCAGCAAGAGCAAGATAATCAAGACACACTTGGTGCAGACTGGCAAAATCAAGAATCTGCTGTGGTCCAGCCCAGGACTGACAGGGATGTGGAAAGAAATCACCTAAAGTGTGAAGCAGCGATGCCTACAGGAGGTAAAGGAATCACAAGAAAAGAGTCACTAAGAAGAGGCTCATGGAAGCAAGCTGAGGCAGAAAAACAAGGTTCAGAAGACAAAGAGAAGGCAGCTGTGGTAATTCAGAGCAATTACCGAGGTTACAGAAGGAGGGGACAGCTCAGAAAAGAAGGGAAACTACCTTGCAAAAGTCAAGAGAAAACAGCAAAGGAGCTAACAGAAACAATACACATTCAAAATAAGAATCCCCAAACAACAAAAGGTAGGGAAAGCACCAGCACAGAGGCTGAAGACTCTAATACACTGAAGGGAGATTCAGAGAAAGAGGCCTGTGATTTGGCAGCCTTTTCACGACAGGTAAGAAGCTTGTAAGCAATGTATGTGGAGTATAATACTCTGAGCAATGACAGAATGGCAAACTTATTTTACCGACTTCTATGGCACCAAGGTTTTGCTCTCGAAACTGAGACAGAGATTTTGTAATGTGTATTCTATAAAAATGCATATTTTAGTTTGCAAGAGAAAATAGCCTTTTCTGTAAGGAGGAGAAATCAAAGAATACCAGCAAAAATAATGTTAATCTGATTTAAGTTAAATGCAGAAGCTTTGCCTTTCAAATGTTTGCTTACCCATCAAGGTCCCCAATTCAGTACACTTGTGAAATGTCAGCTTTAAATGAAGCTAAAGTTGTTGTGCCAATGTCAGAGACTTGCACATGTGCAGAGAAGTATGCCTACAGCTGTAGAAGCAATCTTGCATCCGCAAGGCACCATGTGCCCACGTGTGTGAATAAGAAGTAGCTGTAGGACTGGACTGCAGTGTTGAGTTTCCTATGTGTCTTCCTTTTCCCATCTTCATTTTTTTCAAGAGATGAGGAAGTAAATGTGGTAGAGGTGTGCACTGCAGTCATTGGAGCAATACCTTTTAAATTAATTCTCTAGTCTGCTATTTTACCTTTGATTACCTTGGAACATGTATACTTATTTCTATAATAATGTAAAAATATATTTTTCAGATATCAAAATTATCTGAAGATTACTTAGCATTGCAGCAAAAACTGAATGAAATGATATTGTCCCATCAGCTGAGACCCGTGATGATGTCCAAAGATAAGCAAGCTAACGGCCGGCTTTCTTCTCATGTTTGTCAGTCAGGTAATGTTTAACCTTACTGTTGGCAGAATTTTCATTTGTAAACAGGACTGACAAGAAACTACTCCTGGTCAGGTCAGGGAACGAGTAGATGAGATAATTCCAGCTGCTCATATTACTCTGGCTGTATATTTTTGTACTAAGCCCCATATCAGTATATGTCTGGAATGCAGTTTCCAGAGAAATACTCGAATCTGGTTGGGATTTATGTATTTACCATTTTTTTTTGTATTTTGTTTCACTGCTGCTTAGATTGCTGAATGAACCTTTGTGAGACCTAGACACACAATCTCTAGTAATACTTTTATTTGGTAAAAATTCAATATTGGCTCTTGTTAACTCGGGTGTCACTCAGCCGTGTGTGCTATTGGTAGGATATGGGACTATGCTTTCAAAACAAAACAGTTTTTTAAGTAATATGTCAAACAATTTACTAAAGTTTATGACATATACACTGAGTGAATTTTTAGTTATCCACAGATTCAGCTGAGGTTATTAAAAACCTGTAACTCCTACCCATGTTGGTGGATATGTCCTTAAGATTTCATGTAAAGTTTTATTAATACTCAGCATCCATTTAACTCACGTACTTAAAAGGGCATGATCTCTAGAAATACACTCCAGAGATATTTATATTCCAGTTAACATGGGCAGTGAAGGTTGCCAAAATGCAAATATGCTTGGAGCAGCTTGGGTGGCAGTGGGGAAGAGTACTGGGAGAATAAAGAGGACATGGGATTCTGAGCATGCAGATCATTAAGACCTGTGCTACACCAAAAGGACCCCGAAGAACTGACTGGGCTGCTCAGACCCCTTATGTTGGAATAGATGTAACAAGGAATTTTCTCAGCTCATGTCCTGGGCTGCAGATGTGGAGGAAGATGAGGGCAGATGTGGCAGATAACTGGCTGTGTCTCCATTTGTGTGGCAGGGCTTGTGTGAGCTCACTGCACTGCCTCTGGGGAAGAGCTGGGAAAACATCTAGGACTGTCTCTCACTGCCCAGAGCTAGTTGTGCTATTTTCATTATAACATTGTGGATTCAGTTGTCATGTGTGATGAAATTTCTTTCTGTTCCCATGACTACATTGAGAAGATCTTAAAAGTACTTCAGTCCTGCTTTAGAGTCCTCTCAAATTTGCAAGCTGCTTAAATGAGGGCTTGGTGTTTACACCTCTAAGTGTAAACTGGCTGGTGGTAGGTAATCTGTGTAGTTCTGACTGTTTCCAAGACCGAAGTTTGCAAGAGAAAAGAAATGGGAAATGGAAAACTAAGTGCTGTGACCTTTCATTAAAGACAGAGAGAGGTTTGTGATTGTCATTAATGGTCTCGTGTTGAGCTCTCCACTAAATACTGCTGATTTTTTGACAAGGTAAACCTGAGCAATTAAAAATAAATGCTTTGGAAAATACCTCTTGGTTCTAACACATTTTTCAACAGAAGCTAGAGAAAAGAGGTAGATAAAGGGGAAAAGAGAATATACAAATCCCTGTTTTATTACTTAAAGATCTCATCACTTGCACGAGTGAACCAAGGGAAAATGTACCAGTGTGTTCCCTCCATGTGCAAAATGCAGTGAAGTCTACCCATCACACTACTATTAATTTAAGTAGCTTTACAGGAGACAAAAGCTTGCCAGGGTTTTTCACCTGTGCATCCAACCCTGCCTAAAGGGATGACCAGTCAGCCACTTCCCTTTATCTCTGAAAATGTCGTGCTGCTGTAAAACCCTGTGGTGTCACAGTGCAGAAGTTTTGCAGTGGTAAAATGTGCTAACCTGTCCACTGAAAAACCTTTCTTGGTGTGGAATGTGAACATTCTTTTTCTACACTTTAACATAATTCACATGACAGGAAAACTGTTTCTTTTCCAGCTATGACCAATGCACAAGATAGTGAAGACAGTATACTGCAGTAATTCCAGTTTGCCTTTAAGAAATTTGGAAACTGGCTTTACCACAAAGCTTCATTGTCTTAAGTAGATGTTTATTATAGCAAATATGATCTAACTAGATGTAGAGAATATTTAAGTAACAATATGCCTGTGTTCTGTTCACTTAAGCTGTACTGTCTAAAACACAGGAGTTACCAACACTCTGGGTATCGTATTTTCTTTCTCTATGCAATATAGCAAAATATCTATAACCCCCAAAAGATTTGAGGTAAGGTCCTGCAGATGGTCATGCTAAAGTGAAGCAAGTAGATGAGGTGATCCACTGCCTTATTAGCAGGGAGGAACCTTCCTGTCTACCTGCCTACATTATGTGTTACAGTAGGATTTATAAACACTCATTTACAGAAGATATGCTTTTACTGCAGCTTTCCCTCTGTGGCTGCTTTTCCTGTCCTATTCTTTTGAAGGCAGGGATTGTTGAGCTTTAGGTGATCTTCAAATCATGTGGTATTTACCTATTTGTAATTATGTTGGTCATTTACATTTATTTACACTTTTTCATCAGCTTCACTAGTTTTATATGTTGTTTTACAACTATAGCACGTGAATTGTATTTTATAACTAGATAAGAGAGCTTGGCTGCCTTTTTCTGTGGGTACGTGGCCATTATACAATAACACAACTTACCACATCCTCTGATAAAATATTTTATTACATTTGCTACTCACAGAAGGGGAGAACTGAGGGGCAGCTGATGGCATACTGTGACAGATGCTCACATTTTTAAAATGGTTTGCTTGTTTGTTTGGTTTCAATAAAAATTCAAAGCTTGCAGTTCAAAGAACATCTGAGCAAAAGGTTAATTTAATCTTAAATCCACAAGGTTAAGTAAGTTGTTCTTAAATGAATTTCTTTGTATTTATAAAATGCATAAAGCAAGCTGTGCGAGGTTCCTGGATTAAACAAAATTCTCTGTGGCTGGAATGTCTGAGTAGGTTATATTTGTTTCTTACATGCTTTCAGCTAAATGTAATAGCTGCACCCCAGAACTGCACCCTTGGAGTGCTGGTGAGCCTTGGGTTGCTGTGGTGTCAGAACAGATGCACAAATGACTGCTGTCAAGTTTTTTGAGATCAAAGCCTGAAGTGAGGGGAATTTGATCATTATGGGAGGAATTTTTTTTCTTTTTTTCCCAGATGAATCATAGTGCTCATCCCTCTACTTATTAAATGACAGTTCAAGTACAAAATCTCAGGAAGAGAATTTTCTATATTTAGAATGAAATTTACTTGGTCAGAGGAACCCTGATGCAGCTGAGGACATTTTCAACTAAACAAGGCAATAAGACAGGCAGGGTTTTCATCCAGGATTCCTCCTGCTGTCAAGGCACTATTTACGGGAATTTAATGGGCAGGCTTTGCAAGGAGAAGGGAGCTTGTGTAGCCCTGGGTGAGCAGAGCAGCATTCACCAGCCAGACTTTCTTCTTTGCAAGTGAGTAGGCAGCCAGGGAGCACTGAGGCATGGGACTGGAGAAAAAACAGGGTAGGCAAGCACTGCTGGCTGGTGGTTCTTGGCTACAGGAGTGGTCCTTTGGGCACCACACAGCCAGGATGTAGAAGGTCTGTGTTGGGAGTTGCTCAGATCCATGACAGAGCATAAGATCTGGGAGGTCGTGAATACACCATTTTCCTTAAATATCCTCTTAAGAAGCAGTAATCCCAGGTAACCAGATTCAGAGAAGGTGAGAGGCGCTGGAGCAAGTCCAGAGAAGGGCAACAAAGCTGGTGAAGGGTCTGGAGCAAAAGTCCAATGAGGAGCAGCTGAGGGAGCTGAGGGTGATCAGTCTGGAGAAAAGGAGGCTCAGGGGTGACCTTATCACTCTCTACAACTGCCTGACAGGAGGGTGCAGCCAGCTGGGGGTTGGCCTCTTCTCCCGGGAACCAGCAACAGGATGAGAGGACATGGCCTCAAGCTGTACCGGGGAGGTTCAGGCTGGACATCAGTTAAGCATTGAAATGGATTTCTCAAGGAAGTGGTGGAGTCACCATCCTTGGACGTGTTTAAGAAACAGCTGGACATGGCACTTCATGCCATGGTCCATCTGGAAAGATGGTCCAGTCTGGACTTGATATTAGAGGTCTTTTCCAATGTTTATTATTCTGTGATTCTGAATTAGTGTCAGCCAGAGACTGAAACTGCTTCCCTCAGTAGGGATGTGGGACTTAGGTGTGAGAGATCAAACACTGTCAGCCTCTGCTGTACACAGTCTGAAAGTTCTCAGTCTCTTGCAGTTTTTACTTCTACATGTGTGCCAAAGTAATCCCTCTGGGTTTTTTCCAGATTGCTAAGAATTTGCAGCCATCAGCCATAATTTCCAAATCTGGCTATGTTAAACATCCAATGAATTAAAAATACCTAAAAGTTACTAATCAGAATGTAAAAGAGCAGTGCTTTTCTTGGTGTAAATTCCAAACTTAGTTACATCCTCATGCTGTGTACAATTAGAACAGTAAAAAGGTATGCACATAAATGTTGTAAGCAGCAATACCTGTTAGCTTCTCATTATCAAGTCCTGGAATTCCAGTTGCTGTATTTCCATTTTTACTGATTACTTTCAACTCCCTCTAAAAAACCTATAAAATTACTTCTTTTCATCTTGTTTTTCTTCCTGCTTAATTCTGAGCCTGGCTTTATACTTCTGTCTCCATAAGATGTGTAACACCTCTAAATCAAGCATGTAACATTTCACTTAAGTGACCTGAAGATGGCTTTGCCTGTTCTCCAGGTGGCTTAATAAATAGAGACCTTTGGTCCTTTAGATATTTATCACAGTTGTAACCACACTATTTCTCCAGTCTTCAGTATAAAATCTGTTGTAAGTCATGGTTAATTTACATTAGCCTCCACGGATGTTGATTCCTCGAGATTGCTGTCTTCCAAGCTTATCATTGTGTGTCAGAATGTACAGACAGTTCAACCTAAAGGGCTGTTGATACTGACTCATCTTTATTCAAACAGTTCTTGCTCATCCTTGAACGTTTCAAGCACATGCAGCTCTCCTCAGTTCCTGTAGTTTGTGGTGGTGTTCAGGATACACATACATATTGAATACACATTTCAGCCTATTTGGAGCTTTCAGTGAGGGCCGAGTATGAAAGTATTAATTTGTTGTAGAATTGAGTGTGTCTGCAACTTAGATTCATTAAACCTTCTTGAATGTTATCTGGCAGCCACGCTGTTTACATGCGTTTCCTGGCCCTTAACTTTGTATTTCATTTATTCTATGGACAAGAACTTTTACTATCATCACTGGTTTAACCTCTTTTTTTTTTCTTTTTTTTTTTTTTTTTTTTTTTCTTTCCTTTACTAACCAAGTACTGACTTAGATACACTTGGGAAGTCTGAGGAGGAAAATCCCCCCATTTCAACCTGTTGTTTAATCTGTCTTCCTCCTGGTAAACCCTTTAGGGAATGTCTGTGTTGCATCAAAGTTTCCAGTTTTTCCTACACATTGCTCCTAAGGCATGTGTCCCAGCACTGACAGCACCTCTTCAGGTGGATACAACAGCAAGGTGTGGGCTGCCAGCAGAGATGGGAATCTCAGCACAGTCCTTAGGACTGCTAATGACTAACTAGGATGTTACCTTAAGCAAGTGTCCATGTGTCTTTGTGCATCTTATTTACCTTTTTACTAGGACAGGGGTGGTAGTGCCAACCTGGCACTTCCAAAGTGCTCAACAGCTGCTGTGTGAATGGTTTTTGTATCAGTGTTGTAAAATGTCAATGACTATTAGAGGGGAAACATCAGTCTTCCTTGCACATAGAAAGCACATGGACAGATCTTGCTACAGATACTTAAAGTCTTAAGGAAAAATAAGCTAGAAGAGACTTTACTATGGAGAGACTGGTCTTCAATAAAAACCTTTTTTTTACAATGGAAAACAGAAGCAACATAATTGCCCTGTTAATAAGTGAATCATTTCACTCCTCCTTTCTGCTTCCTTGCCTGCTGCAGAAAGGTATAGGCCATCTGGAAAACAAACACATCAAACTCACCATTTATCAGATTTGTGTATTTAATTTGCACCTCCAACCTTCAATTTTACTAAGTTATTTTTGTATTTGTCAGAAACTAATAAAAAAGCAAATTTTACTTTGTATTATCCAATACAAGTAACTACCGCATTTGCTGAATTTTGGTAGCAGTGAACATGCAAATCTAAGTGCAAAAGGAAATCACAGCTTCACTTTCTCATGAAGCAAAGAAAGCAAAACCTTACTGTGTAATTTGGAGGCAAAACTCAGAAATGCATTTTCAGCCCTATATTCAGTTTTAAAATAGAATGATGGAGGTCCAAGCTTATAAGGCTGGCTGCCCCAACATGGTATTTGTTTCCCCTCAATTCTTTTGCACAGTTTATACATATGTACAACACAAGAGCTGAGATGAAAAGCAATTTTTTTACTGAAACCTTTATCATTGTCAAAATGGTATTTTTTGAATGTATGAAGCAGTCTTCTTTGCTGAGCACACACACAAGAAGTATACAAGTAATTCCAGTTGGAATAATTGTAATCTGGAGCACAATAATGCTTTATCTGTTTGACATTGATGACTTAAATAATGTAACAGCTTATGCATTGATGAATTCTTAGGGGACAATAAAAAATCTTCAGGCATAATGAGAGCCTTTTCATTGGGATTTTCCTAGAGCCCCCCCAAACTGGCTTCATTTCTTTTTTCAGATTTTTGTGCAGTCAGGATCTCAGATGAAATTTTTGAAAATGTCCTACAGACAGGGCATTAGGTATTTCTATTCAACAGCACTGAATTTTAAGGGTTTTTTTTTAAGGTAGTGTTTCCACTTTGGACTCCTGTTGTGTTTAAAAATAGAATAGGAAAGATATGCCTCTCTCTCAAACAAATGGAAAGTCAGATAACTCCAGGTGGCCCATTTGAAATGCAGCAAGGTAGCAACAGCCCACATTAAGAGCCAAGTCAAGCCTGCTGTACCTATTGAAATCAAGTAATGTCACTTATATTTAACACAGGTTACTGAAATGAATTTATTGCATCTAAAATTCATTGTTTACATGAATTATCTGTAACCTCACTTAGAAAAATACCATTGTACTCTTAGGTGCAAAATGTTAAAAAGATACTTGTTCATTCATTACAGAAGAAGCAGCAGTCTGCATTTCAGATAAGAAACTAAAACAGTAAATGTAATCATTATCCAACTACAATTTAAATTAACATTATTCATTCTGGCTCCTCTGTATACCCATGACCTTTACAAGCCTTTATTTATCATGCATAACAAAAAACTTAAACAGCCAATTTTGCAGGAGTCAACACTGATGTATTACTGATCGTTTCTCATTTTAAATTATTGTGATACCTGCTTAATTAAAAAGATGTCTGCTGTACATGGGGAAGTTTTTATTTTTATCATGTAAAAGGGTTTCTGTTGGTCATAGGGGAGCAAAATGGTGTTAAAGTCACTTCATGTGGAAGTGGATTATATCAGCAAAACACACTTTAGTAATTCACTGGGATCTAGATCCCCATTCCAACCTCACACTATATTCATTTATGAATAAGGAGATGTTTTTTCTCATGCACTGTCCTTAGTATATTATCTGTGGTGGGACAGGGGCAATATCAAACCTCACTGGATAATGCAAGATACCTTAAACACTCGGTTCACTGTGCTGTGCCTTCATTCACCACCCCATATGTGTCTCTATGACCCACCTCTGCCACTCGTGTTCTGATGCTGTGCAACTCCCTTCTCCTTCATCATGAAGGAATTGCTGTCACCATTAACTTTTCCTAGAGCTGAAGCTGAAGGGAAGGAGACCAGGCTCATCAGGCTGTACATTTGTGGTCTCTTTTACCTCCAGGGCCAGTTCTGTGGTCTTTAGGAACCCTGCACTCTGTGTTGTCTCTGTGCCAAACAACCTATGAACCCAAGCAGCCCTGTATCATAGCACTGTGAGAATGACATATAGATTTTCAACAAGCAAATACCCAAGATATTTTTCTAGTTCTTTATGTGCCAGCCAATGTAATCTGCAAGTCAGTATCTAACTCTGAACTGGGAGACTGCCAAGGGACAGTAGTTCCATTTTGTGTTAAAATCTTGATTTCATTTCTATTAGAGTGAAGGCATTTTTCACATGTTTGCAGAAAGTTTTTGTAGAAATAGAGACCAGAATTTGAGTACACTAATATATACTACCTTGGATGTGATGGACACCCATGCTGTGTTTATGCTGTGTTGCCCAGTGGCACATAATCTGGCTTGAAATGAAAAGCCTCAGCAGGACACCTGGGGGAAAATTTTCACTGTGATAATGTAGAGGACAACCTCTGAAACGGAGGCATAATGCTAGTTCCCTCATTCAGCACCTTAAAGATAGACTTGAGTCTGAAAAGAGCATCACACCTGCCACACAGGTCCCCATTATGAGGCAGTGGCCTCACAGTAGCCATTACCCTTCAGAGCCTTTTTCAGAAGGCAAGACCTGTGCCAGGGAGACCTCCAGGCTGTTCCAGCCTGGCATTCATTATGCGGCATTTGTCCCTGTGGGCAGTCAGGACTGAAGTGGATAAACCCATTCTCTGATGAAGAAAACATCCAAACCAGTTGCTTACTTGAATTACTGCAAGCAGTAAAAGTGGCTATGTGGATTTTTTTCTCTCTTTGATGAAATTCTCTCCTTTTTTTTTTCCAAAAGCCTCCAGCTCTGTGAAGAAATAAGCATTGCTATCTTCTGCTTTTTTACAGTTGTGGCCAAAGTAGAAGACTCTCGCCCAATGCAGAGACCCCCCAGAAGGCCACGGAAGCCCAAGACATTAAATAATCCAGAAGACTCCACCTACTACACTCTAATACATGTGAGTTTAAGAAGCTTTCCTGGGCTAAAACTGTCAGATAATTCACACCTAAACTATCTTTCTAATCACCCAATTCCCATTATTCTTTTCTAATGCAGCATAAAACCTTTGTCCTGCTGAACGCAGGCAGGCCACAAACTTCACATTTCAAATGAGACTTGAAATGGAAGTACAGTGTTACCCAGACTGGGGAACTATGTCAGACCAGTATTTACTTTTTTTACCTAAACATACATGCTTTCATTATGTGCATAAATAGCATTTTCACTTTCAATACCCAAATCAAGTGCCCTGTCTCCATAGTTTCTTTGTAAGTCACAGGAGAGAACCAGGAGAGGCACAGGTTTGTTTGGAGCTATTTTGAGCATCTAAATTAGTGCTTGATCTTGCAGAGAGAGCAAATACTAAAATAAGTTGTATTAGTATGCACACTGTAACTTCCTTTATAAATCTGTCAGATTGTGATTATGAAGGCATTGGCAAATACCAACAGCTCAGGAGACTAATGGATTTGAGTGTCTCTATATATAGCCTTTGGTCCAAGTTCAGATACAAAGTGCTGCTTTCCCCTCTTGACTTCAGTGCCCTTAAATATAGGGAAAAAGGCAAGAAAGTAAGCAGAAAGGGTGAAAATGTAAAAGCAGCTCAGAAAGCACTTCCAACAAAAAAAGCAATTAAACTGATTTGCTCGAGGTGCCTGTATCTTAGTGACCTATTTTAACAGCCGGTGAGAACCCAGCTAATAAACTAACCGTAGAAATTGCTTCTCCTTTCAACAGAAGGTGTCACCAGGGCCTGTAGGGATGGTTGTGTCTGGCATACCAAAAAAACAACAAAAAAAATACAGCCATGTTTTATTCTGGGGCTTTGAAATAACACAGCTTTGGAATGGTGATATTCTGAAAAGAAATTACACTCTTAAAAATAAATTTGCATGTACAAATAAAATTTGTTTTGTGAAAGCAAGCTTGGTGAGATAAAGGACTGAAATGAAAGGTGTGACACAGAATCTGTATTCAGAAATTTCTGAGAAGGGCAGTTCTGAAGTAAATGCCTATCTAGGAAACTAAGACTATAGGGTCATGAAAATAGTATTTTCTGAGAGCTAAATTTTTTACATGGCCAGCTCTATACCAGAAAACAGCCATGGCATCAGTGCAAACAAAAACTGCAGTAGTGCCAGGAGATATTTAATCAATTTTTTAGCAGCAGCTTTTCAAGGTATTAATCAATATTACCTTCAATGAATTGTATTTGCAAGAAGTTGTGAAAAACAGAAACCTGTCTTCCTGACATGAAGTTCACTGGTCAGGGAAAGGTTCAGTGTAAATATCTATCCACCGAAGCTTAGAAAGGAGACCTACTAGCTGTTAAATTCTTAGACCCTGTGTAAGTCATTAAGCTTTAACTTTAGGTAGTAGCCAGCTTTAGAGGGCAGTCAGCTTTCCCAGCTATTACGGATTTTCTACCTTATTAAAAATCTGTGACCTTCAGGCATTCACAGATTATTATCAAGCCCAGATCAGATGAAAGTGAAGAAACACAATATGAGTGCATTTAAAAAAAAAAAATATCTTTTGCAAAATCAGATATTTCTCTCACATCATGCTACAGACATTAATTAGACACTTTACATTCTCACATATCTCCTTGCATATCAGATGACCTGAAGGGGTATACAGGTATAAATGAAGCCTGACAATAGTTCATTGTTCATATAAGAATTTTATTTTGGGGTCTATTTCTTTAAATCAGCCTATCATTTTGGAATTATAAGTCATGTCCATTTGCCTGCATGCGGAAGTCCACCAGGATTTCTGATACTCAGTGACTTTACAGTCCCTAGTTCTAATACATTTGCAAGAAACACAATTAAGACCACAATCTGCACTAAAAAACACTGCCTTTAAAGTATGATGCATTGGGTGTTGCAACATAGCATTGTTTTGGCTGTAGGGATAGAATTCTATTAGAGATAAGAAATTATTCACATTCCCTATGAATCTCCTCTCCTCTGCATTTTTAGAAATCTTGTATCCTAAAGGTTCTTTTGTCACCTGTAATACTGTTTTTAACTGAGGCCTTTGTCCATTTTATTCTACTAAACCTGTGTGAAGACTACATTGGCATTAATGAAAATAGGATTATGCCTCTTCCCATTGCATTGCTTCTATTCATGGAAATTCTCATGGCATCACAGCAAATTTGCCTCAGTGAGACAGTGTTGTCAACTTTATTAAAACAGTCATAGCTGTTTGGAAGTTTTAGATCTCCTTTTTCTGTTCTGATCATCATTACTTTGGCTTTTTTTAACACCATGGCAACAAATTTGGGAGCAAAAATGCTAATCTCAGTCTCAAAGGCTCTTAAAAGACGTTTTCCTGGGACATTTGCTCATTTTCTATAATTTCTTTTACTGAAAAATATACAACACTCTCCTATCTAACACTGATGAATTGTGTGTTTGCATAAGCTTTCCTTTTAGTATTTTTAATTACTTTTTATTTTCTTAGAAATCAATACAAGATGAAAAACGGAAACCAAGAAAAGAAAGGTAATTTTTTCATTATCTCACTATTGTCACTCCAGTATTCTAGAATAGTTTTTAGCTGTGCTTCAAACAGGAGAATAAAGCATTGAAGAAAGAATGGTAATTTGGTGGTTCACAGGGGGACATGTATACAAAGTTAAAATGCAATTTTCATTGACTAAAATCCGTTATAGAATTCAGCCATTCAGTTTTCCTAAAACATGGTCCTTTACCATGGTAACACAGGCATTATAATAAGATAAGGTTCACATCAAAGATAGTTCTGACACAGAAAATAATTGAAGGTGCTTAAAATTCTAGTCAAAGCAAATGGCCAACCAGTTCTTTTTTGTCAGCAAAAATACAAAGACTGTCAAAATTTTCTCCTAAAAATATATGAGTGTCTGGAAATAGACAATAAAAAATTAAAACAATAACTATGAATAACAGCTAAAGAAGAGTAGCCCTTGAAATTTGAACCAGATGCGTTTTCTTCCCAATGTAACTAACATATTTTGATGGATCTCTGCAGAAAAGAAAGAAGCAATAGGTAAATTCTGTCCTTCTGTATCTTAGATCCTTATGTGTGCTGCAGACCTGGGTCACAGTTCCTGACATACATCATAGCTTTGTTTTATTTGTGTTTCTATACTGAGGCTTTTCTGCTGCCCCCTCAGTGGCACTGCTGTGGCACCATGTGTGCGATGGCAGCCTGCTCATAGCTGCCAGATGAATGGGCTCTCTGCACTATCCTTGGCTGAAGTTGCAGAATACAAACTCCATGGTTAAAATATGTATCTTAGAGGATGTTGCATGACATTACATCTGTATAAAATGTGCTCACAGCATTGAGCTTCATTCAACTGCAATTTAAATTGCACTTGATTATACCGCAGCTTAAAGGACCTTATGTCCATGTCCCCCATGTTTGGTCTCTTTCAGCTTTTTTTCTCATGTTATTTGGATCCTAAAAAAAATTCACACCTAACGAGTCCAGTCTAGGAGGAAAAAAATAACTAAAACACCAAAATCTAGTGTTAACAGCAAAATCTAGTGGATTTTTTCTCATTGGCCTCAGTTAGATTTCACTCATGTAAATTTAGTTAACCTGTTCCCTGACTGCATCTTCTTTCATGTGCTGACTCTGTATTAGTGGAACATAGCAAGTGAAATCAATTAATTCTGGTTTCTAACAATGATTGAATTCTGAACTTGTCTATTCAGTTTCTTTTTCAGGATATTATTTCTTTCCTTTGCCATACTAAAATGGATGTTGGGATTGATTTTTTTCTGTATGTATAATACCTTGGATAGCATTCATGTAACAAAATAAGAGATATCTGCATTATTGACACCTATATCTGAACTAGTTGCTTTAGACTCTCTTCTTGTACTTTGAGGAAAAAAAAATAGTCATCTTTAGGAAAATGATTCATCTCTTGCTCAAAGAGATATCTGAAATAGACCAGATTAATTATACCATAAAAATGCCTCACCACTGAGTCTAATGGCAAGCCCAAACAATTTCAGTAATCTGTGTCTCCTTTATGAATATATAAAAGTATTTAGCATTTCAAAATTCTCAGTATCTACACTGTACAGCAGTCATACTTCAGAGACTGATTTTTTTGTGCCTATATATATTTCTGCTTAGATCTTCAACACATAAACAGAACTAATAATGGTATTTGGCTGCCTTGGGTTTGCATGTTGAAAAAAATATTGAAAAGTTAAACTGTTAAATTAGTGTTCTTATTTATTTACAGTCTGAGCAAAGTGCTAGACTTAGATATCTACTACCAAGAAATTTCATCTACTGACTCCACCTCCAAGGACAGCAGTACTACCACAAGAAGGAAGAGATACCCAATTGAGCGCAGGACTTCCATTTTACGAGCTACTGAGCGGTAATTCATACAAAATAGTAATAGGAGAAAATAAATATTATCCTTGTTGATACATTCAAAATATTAATAAAATGTAAAGAAATGCACTTTCAAATTGCACATAAATCTACTATTTTAGACATAAAATTTTGCCAAATTATCCTGCAAAACATATAGCTAAAGTTTCCCATCTCAAAATGGGAATATCTGAGCTAATCCCCATGCAAGAGGGACAAATGCCAGTGTGATTGGTGTTCAGCTACCTGCCAGTTTTTGGTTTCCCAAGGGCCAGATGGACAGACATTCTGCATCTCTGATCTAAAATAAAATTAAACTGAAGCAGAACCTAAAAACTGTATTTCTGATTAGTTAGGTTTTAAATAAGGCGGACATGCACTAGACTTTCTGCAGGTAAAACTCCAGCTTGACTGCCTCCTTCTCCTGCTGACCTGTGGTAGCACAGGTGTCTGTAGCCTGCAAGCACCTCACCAAGGTGGACAGCCAGGAGAAAAAAAACCCTCCCAAAGGGAGGGTTCGCTCGACCTCCTCTCTTCCCACATAGACTTTATAAAGGGTGACCACTGCCAGGATAAGGAAATTCATATTCTCACTCTTGCCAATGCACTCGACACACTGAACATGCAAACACACATCTATATATCTTAATATAATTGTATCTTCTTGCATGTTCCTAAATGTAAGAAAAGCTTGGAATACTGTCTTGGTCAAAGTCTTAAGGGAAACTCTAAGCCTGGGAGGAGTGCGGAATTTGAAAATGTATCTGTAGTAACAGAGGAGATGTTTGTAGAACATTTACAATGTAGAATGTTTTGTGCACCTTACCTGTTTCGTGTCTGGCCTTTTTTTCATCAGGAAACTGAAGATGTGTAATTAAAAGTAATAATATCAGGGAGTCACCATATAGTTTGCAACCATTAGAAAATGTTGTATTTCTAAGGTGACTAATTTCACCAAATCTGTCACCCTGAGGTCTGGTTTAGGTGAGTCAAAAGTTTGCTACTGAGCTTACTAAAAGGAATTTCTTACCCTTTACGGTTTGCTGTTCTGATTGCAGCCTAAGTAGCCATAGTGAAACAAAGTATGTCTAAGTTTGCAGTTACCTCAGAGGGCAGATGAATGAAATTAATAAGTATTTCTGCACTTCAGTATTTCTTGAATAGGGTCACCAGGATATAAAGATTGCACAACCATTTCAATCTACGGAAGTGAAGCATTGAGCACTTTTTATTTAGCGGTTTACCTTTGACATTGGTATAGGACAAGTGGTGGGGGCAACTTAAGTGTAGAACATTAGAAATTTTTGTAATTATTTCAGAGTAATTTACTTTTTAACTAACTGTCTTTTGTGTTTAATCTTGCTCCATAGTAACAGCTGATGCCAGGTCACAATTCCAGCCTGTCAGAGGTGGCATCCAAATGCATCTTGCCATCTGAAAATAAAATAAAATGAGATGGATGCTTACAGTGAAGACCACTGGCAGGTTAAATAGAAAGCAAACAAATTTATGCCAGCTGAAAATCTGATGCAGTAACTATCAGGCAAATGCTACTGCAACACATCCTCATGCTCTCAATGTTTTTATGTCCTTTCGTTATGTCCCCTTCATAGAAGAACATGTTGTTCTTCTGTGTTCATCTGCTTCTAGCATATAATGTGTTTGTTCCGAGGTGCCTGTTTTGTGCAGCACAGGAAGAGGCCTAGCAAAGTCAGCTGATTTTTTTTCTTTCTCCTTTTGTTTTCCCCCACAAGGGTGGAGGTTAAGCAGTCGATTAGAAGTGTTTGCCAAGGTAAATGTTTTTACTTTAATTTCTGAAACACTTCTGTGCATAATCCCTAGATCGAGGGTTGCAGAAAGACCCCTGGAAGAGAGCAAAGCTGAAGATAATCCCTATGACTACAGACGACTGCTGCGGAAGACCTCACAGCGCCGGCGCCTTATCCAGCAGTTCTAGCTGCTGCTGCTGTTCCTGCTGCCATTTGGCTTTTATTAGCATAATTTTTTTTATCATTTTATACCATGTGTTTCCTTTTTTTTTTTTTTTAAATCTTCAATGTTTTATGTGTGTTTTCATGTGAATATGAATTACTGTGGTTTACAGCCCAACACCATTGCAAAGGGACACTGTCAGTCACATATAGTATTCTTCTCTAATATAAAAACCATTGCTACATTCTAAAATTATTAAACAGCTTAAATCTAGTTTACTTTCCTCAGTGTGTATTTCTTTTTTTTTCATCAGTTTCATCCAATCAAAATAATAGTTTACTTTATAGTTCCCTAATTAAGCTTTCAAATTTCCATCTGCACCTTCAAAAAACCTTAGTTACTGTTTCCAATGAATTGTTTTACAGGAAAAAAATTACAAGAGCATCATGGGGGAATTTCTGCTTATTTTAGTTTACATTGCCTAAATTTTGGGATGACCTTCTTTGTAGCAAGTGTCCCTCTAACGAAAATTAATGTATATAATTAACTGGATAGAATACTATGGCAGTTTATTTCATTATTGACTTTACTGTAAAGGTAGTAGCCAGTTTTAAAGGTCAGTATTATGTATATATTCTTTATGTTGGAGATGTCCATTTATTGGAAGTATATCCAGCCCTCTTCTCTGCCTCTGAGCTTTGTGACTAAGTGATGAACTTTTAAATCACGTTTGCTTTGTTCTCATTTGCATTAGATTTTTACAAACTTTAATCTCTGAGGTACCAAGAAAGGAATATAAATACACTCTCTGGTTGATTGCTGCTGAAATGTAAAGATCATTCTTAATCAGTTCCACTAGAAATTAAATGAAAATAAAAGCAATAGCCGCAGTGGTCAAATTTCCCCAATTCCTTATTCAGAAGACCTTATTTCACAGAAATCACACAGATAATTGCAGCGCTTTTTTTCAGGATTCATAATTGCATGTTCCCAGCTGCAAAGCAAGAGAAGGCAAATTTCATGATGCCAGCATAAAGGCCTGATCCTACTCCCTTCCTCAGCTCTCCTAAATATGACAATTGGCGGCAGCAGTCAGCCACAGGGGCTGGGTTTTGTCCGTTCACCGCGCACATTCGGCCTTTTCCCCAGAGACAGATAACCACCGCTTCCTGACCTGTAACTAGTTACAAGGCTGTGCACCCGATTAAATTGTACTGCAATGTAAAATTTGCGATAAATTGTCGAAATTTTGAAATGTTGTCAAGTTGCTTTGTTATGTATTAATTAAAATGGTAAAGTAAATAAAAACGTACAAAACAGTAATACGGTTGGTTGTGTCTGAATTACACGCAGCACCGACAAAACACTGTGGGCTGGGGCATGAGTGAGCAAGGCAGGGAAGGGCTCACAGCAGCCTCTGGCCGTGGAAAGCTGGAGTTATTGTCTACGTGCAAGCCAGTGTGATGCGGCAACTGGAACAGACTGTAATTTCACACGAAGGGAGCCTGGAGTGGTTTTCTTCTGCTTTCCCACCACAGCAGTGTTCTCAAGCATTTATGTGAGGTCTCATGGCGGGAAACTCCTCATAACCATGTGGGTGCCTGCAGAAAGCAGAGAGATGCCCCGAGCTGAGTACAGGGCCTGGCTGCGAGCAGCGTGGTGCCCTGCGTGACCAGCGCTCCTGACATGACGCGGTCCCGCCTGCCTTCCTCCAAGGCTAGGGCTTGAAATCCCTCCTGTGCCAGAGGAAAGGCAACCGCGGCAGGGAAAGGGTCCCGCGGAGTCCCGGCTGGGTGGGAAAGGGAGCTTTCAGAGATGTCGTGAAGAAAATGGGGACAGTTGTTCTCGTGCTTTTCCCGTCTGGCAGCCGGGCTGGTGTGAGGATGGCGGTTCCACCAGGGTCCCCAACTCGGAATGTTGCGGGAGGTCCCCGGGAGCGCCCCGGGGCTCCAGGGACGCGCGGGGGCAGCCCCGGCGCCGCGCAAGGCTCCTCCCGCTCGTCCGTAAGAGCCGGGACGCCCCTGGCCGCCCGGGAGCATGAGGGACAGCGGGAGCCCAGCCCCGTTCGAGCCCCTCCACCAGTGCCTTCCCCGCGGCGGCCCGGCGCGACGGCGCGCCCGCCGGTGGCTGTGGGCCGGGCCGAGGGGACGCGGGGGCTGGGGGCTGCCTCTTCCCCACCGCGGGACCGCCGGCGGCACGGGCTGTCCCGGCCTCGGCGCCGCCGCCCAGGAGTGCCCTGCTAGCACGTGCGGAGATGCCACGGTGCAAAACTGGGAGGTGTGGTGGGGGGATTTACCTTCGTATCTTAAAAGGACTAAGGACGCTTCCCCGTAGTGCCAACCTTCCCCTCGAGGTACCAGGCTGGACCACCGCGGCCGCCCGCGCCAAGACTTGGAAAACTACCATTCCACTCCGCTAAGCGTTCTCCGGCCGAATGGACCGTCGGTAGGGTGAAGACGGCACAGGCACCGTCGCTCGTCTTCACCCTCCCCCAAGGCAGCTGCAGCCCCAGCTCAAGCAGCGCCTATAGCTCGGGTCTGCCCCGAGTGCTATCGCCCTCCCACCGCTACCCCTCGCTCCTGCGCTGCAGGGTGCGGACACCCCTCAGAATAGCGGACGCCGTCGCCGCCGGCCGCCTCAGCGGGCACCTCTTCCCGCGGAGCCGCCCGCCCGCCCCGTCCCGGGCAGCAGCGCCTGCGGGGCGCGGCCGAGGCAGCTCCGCGGAGCTCGGCGGAGCGCGCCCCGGGGGCGCCCACGGGAGACGCTCCCACCCACGCGTGCCCGGGGCGCTCCCGCCCCTTCGCCTGCCGCCGCCTGGCGCAGCCGCGCGCACTTACACATCGCACACTCACACTCACGCACACTCGCTCAGGCCGCCTGGGCTGCAGATCGCCGCTCCTCGCCCGCCCCGCCGGTTCGCCTCCTCCATGGCAAGCCCCGGCTCCGGCTTCTGGCCCTTCGGAGCCGAGGAGGGCTCCGCAGCCGCCGAGGCTCCCGGCACAGGTAGGGGGAAGCCGAGCGGCCGAGCGGGACCGGCCCGACGGAGCCGCCGTGACAGAGCTGCCCGGTCGCCGGAGCCCCCTTTGTGACAGCTCGACCGGCGGGACGAAGCGGTGCGGGCGGCGGGGACCGACGGCGAGCCCGGACAGCGCCGGGGGCCTCTGAGGGGCAGGGGGTTCCTGGGGAGCGGGGCCGGGGGTCGGGCGAGGCGCTCCTAGCCCACGGCCGTCCCCACGGACCCTCCGCTCGATTTTCTCTTACAGCCAGAGCTTGGTGTCAGGTTGCGCAGAAGTTCACGGGAGGGATCGGAAACAAACTCTGCGGTAAGGGCAGGGAGACCCCCGTAGCCCGCGGCGGGGGCGCGGCTGCGCGCCCGCGGGGCGCCGCGGGACCTACCCCGGGTCGGGAGGGCGGGAGACGAGGGTCGATGCCCCGGTAATGAGGCCGTGTGTTCGTGTCGCTGTCAAGCCCTGCTCTACGGTGATGCCGAGAAGCCCGTGGAAACCGGCGCCAGGGCAGCAGCCCCGGGGGTAGCGGAGCCAAGGCCGACCTGCACCTGCGACAAAAAACCCTGCGGTTGCCAAAAAGCGGACGTGAATTACGCCTTTCTGCACTCAACAGGTAACGGCGCACCCGGGGCACGCTGCTTCTCTAAAACTAACAAGAAAAAAACAGCGCTTCGGTCGGGAAATTGCCTCCGCCCGCATTGCGCGGAGGGGTGGGGGGTCCGGCGGTGCCTGGCGGTGCGCAGCGGAGCTCTGCGCCCTCAGCCCTGGCCCCCGTCGGGCATTTCTCAAATCTCCGAAAAATCACTCAAACAACAAAAAATCCCGCGTACAGGAGCCTGCAGCATTTTCTTTCTAAGGAGCACTGACAGCATCGACCTTCTCATTGAAGATCTGCGATGTAATTAAGGTTGGAGGGAAGGAGGGAGATAGAGCGCTCTCCTACTAATTTTCTTTAATTCGAGATATTTTTCCACTTCATCTTTTCTGACCTTGGAGGTACCGTCTCCTACAGTGAGTATATCCCAGCTCCCCGCCGACATGCACTAGCCAGGAGCTCTCCCGTTTGCTCGGCAGCCCGCGATCCAAAATCAGGGGCTTCCACTACAGTCTGGCTTTGACTGAGCCATCGCTCTTAAACAAAAGCTTTGTGTACACCGAGAGCCCGTGCAGCATTGCCTCAGAAAAAGGCATTAAATTATCAACAAGTCGCTTGCATAAGAGAGTCACCACGAAGGTATTTTATTGCAAGGCAAATGACAGTTTTCAGGTGTTGTGTCGGCATTCAGGGTGCTGCTCGTAGCATTTGCTGCTCAATCTTTATTTCCTACGAGATTCGTTTTTCCTTTTTTCTTGTTTCCCTGCTCTCCCTGTCCTAAAAATTGGTCTGAAACATACTGTGGACAGAATTGGCCAATTTAGATGGGATATTAAATCTTGTTATCTCTCAGAACATCCCTTGAAATAGAGCCTTGGCAATCTGCTTATTAAATGAAAACAAAACCTATTTTTATTTGCTATGGTGTAAAGATTTCGTAAACATAAAGGGGAGAAGGCTTTGTTCAAAATCTATGCATGTGGTCACAAAACGAAGTTAACTTTTAAATTTCTCCATTCCCAGATCTTCTGCCAACATGCAATGGAGAAATAACTACTATGTCTTTCTTACAAGACGTTGTGGACATTTTACTTCAGTATGTGGTGAAAAGTTTCGATAGATCAACAAAAGTTATTGATTTCCATTACCCAAATGAGCTGCTCCAGGAATATAACTGGGAGCTGGCAGACCAGCCACAGACCTTGGAAGAAATTTTATTGAACTGCAGAACAACTCTGAAGTATGCAATTAAAACAGGTAATAGCAATGCTCATTTTCTACCTTGTATGGTCTCATCCATTGATTAAAGGTGTCATTTCAATTTAGCTTGAAACGTTAAAGGTTGAAGCAGCAACTGTATTTTGTCAGCTCCAAGCAATTTCTAGCAGAGACAGAAATCGTTTTCCAAAATTATAAAACATTCCAGCAGCTCCTTCTCTGTAGTTGTCAATGCAGCCTCGCACACCCTTTCCTATTTAAAATTAACGCGTCTGTGTATCGGAGTTGCCGAGTGTGCCACTGAGCAGACTTCGCACCGCCTTCACCACTTTCTGCCCTTCCTTTTCATCCATTTCACGTGTGATGCCCCGGCGATGGCCTCATGCTCCCTGCAGAGCGGGGTGCGGTGGGAGCGGAGCAGAGGGGAATCTCTGCATGGGGGCAGCAGGGACCAGCCCATTTAACAGCCGAAATCGCAGTAAACGGCCTGTAAATTCGGGCTCTGAGCGGCCATTTGCCGTGTCTGTCACTTCGCCTGCATGACTAAAACGTAGACAGAATTCAGCAGGACCTTACACAGAAATATCGAGGATTTTGTTTCAACTTTAGGCGGAAGCAATAAAACCAAAGTCCGATTTGTTTTAACAGCCATTTGTTGTTTTTCACTGGGAAAAGCAGGGATGGGTTGACTCCTGCCTGCGTGGGACACCCCGTTAGTAGTGCCTCCCTGTGGGCTTCGCGGAGGGAAGGCAGCATGGGGCTCTCCCAGGCTGGGGAAGCGGCCGGCTCCGCACCGGGACCGCCTGAAATAAACTGCGGCGGAGCAGGCAGAAAGCGGAGCCGCAATTACGGCTGTCATTGGAAAATAATGGGGAGTCCGGGGAGCTCTTAGCGGGAATTTGAATTACTGAGAAATTGCTTAAAAATAATTGTGAAGCAATTACTGAAAGAGACAAAAGGCTCTTTGTGACTAGAGGTTGAGTGGAAAACAAAAAAAATCTCAGGTTTTGAGAAGAGAACAGAACAGACCGATCCCGGTAAAGATTGTGAGGCATGTTCCTAGTTTAGCGGTGGAAATTACCATCCGCATGTTTTGGTGCATGGGTCGGGTGCTGTCAAGATGTTTGTAAAATATTGGATTAAATAGTTAGGTAGATGATATCCAGACGAACAAAGTCGATCAGTCGTGATGTGTCTGGATAGGGCATAGGAAATGTGTTTGCACAGAATGATGTAGAATGCAGGATCTGTGAGTCTGGGAAATCAAAAAAGAGGGTTTCTTAGGTGATTTTCATTAATAGGTTTTTTTTTGTTATAGCTTATTTTCATAAAGCAGACCTATTTAATTTTTTGCATCCAAAAAAGACCCTTTAAAACACTGTTACCGTTTCTCTTCCTCTCTATAAATATCAGAGGCTTTCACGTCTTGGCAATTTATAGTTTGTTTTAATGAAAATAATGTTTTTGAAGTGTGAAAACGGGTTCTGGGGGGGTTTTGTGAAATGTGGTGGCATGGTGGGGTTCAGCCCAGGGGGTGCAGAGCCGCTTGGCTGCTGCTGCTCCTCAGCGCCCTGGGAAGGGCTTCACGAAATGCATGGGGTTTACACCTGGAGCCCATCGGCTTGTGCTTCGGAGTAAAACACCGGAATTGCCTCCGAGGAAGGACAGTATGGTGAGGTTTCTGGCGGCAGCGTCTGCCTCCGCTCCTGCCGCAGAAGCCCCTCGGACACGGCCCCTCCTGGGCGGCGTTTTGCTGCAGGGGCCGGGGAGGCCGATTGAAAAATAAATTGTATTGCATAGATTAGCCTCACAGCTGGATAGCCAGGTCCAGGGATTCGAGGAGGCAGATGGCTGATTTTCCGGCCGAGAGGCAGGTGTGGGTTGCTCCCAGGTGTTGCCTGCATGCCACGGCTCGCTGGGGTGCACGGGGAAGCCGCGCTTTCCGCCCCCTTACCAGCAGAGAGGGAATTTTTGCTGAGAGGATGTAAAAGGCAGTGACTGCGAATGCAGGGAAAGATGGCTCTGAAACTCAGTTACTGTGTGCTGTACAATTGAAAATGGACAGGGGAATTGAAATACGAGCATTTTAAAACGGCCTGGAAACTCCAGGAGGGGTGCGAGGAGCCGGTTGTGGCCCAGCCTTGCTCGCTGGCAGGCCCTGGAGCCGGCCATGCAGGCAGGGAGGCTGCGAGCAGGGCCAGCCTCGGTGCTGCCAGCCGTGCCTCTATCCGTGCTGCCTGGCCGAGCCCAGCCTTCTCGTCCCCTTCCTGCGGGGGCTGTGCAGGCCGGCTGTGGAGGCTGGGCATGCCCGTGCCTCAAAGCGGTGCAGGTGGGAGTGTGTTTGTGAGGGTGTGTGGGGCAGAGGCACGCCCTCAGCAGGGAAAGCCAGGCCTCGGGTGTCCCTGTGCCTTGGCCCTGGTTCTTGGCTGATTTCCTGATTTACTCTGGGATATCTGAATACACTGTGTGTTGCTAAACAAACCATCAAGACATAATCTCCTATTTTCACCTCTCAACCACCTCTTCATCCTGTCACAGTCTCTTTTCCAGTACCTCTTTGTTCAGGATCAGCTTCAACAAAGGATGTGTATTGCAGGTGGAGGCAACCGGTGTAGAGATTTTTGAGCACCTCTCACAAACTCTCCTTACGTGGCCGGTGGAGTCTGTATTCTGAGCAAAACCTCAGTTTTCCACGGCCATCTAGCCAAGGGAAGAGAGCTTGCTCAAGTATTGAGGTGTCACATGGACAGACAAACCCCTGCAGCTGGGGCAGGGGTCAGGTTGGGGCAGTACATTCCCTGTCCCTCTGTGTTACGGCCGTGCTGCAGAAAGGAAGGGCCCGGAGTGGAGGGGGCTGTGTCACAGGTGTGGGTGCTGGGGGCTCTCCCAACAGCAGCAGCTGCTGCTCTCTCTGTCCTGACATCTCTCGCTGCAGCGCTGCTCCCTCCACCTCGCTTGCTCCAGGGTACAGCTGCCCGACCCCTGCTTGCACCCGGGCCTGTTCCTGCGGCGGCTCCCAAAGCAGGTGGTGTGCTGGGAGGTTTGCTAGAAGAAACAAGCAGTGACAACAGGGCTGTCGCCTGGGGTTGAGTGCGGGGCTGACAGAGAACCGCTGAGACACTGCAGCTGCAGATACAAATTCTGGTATTCCCCAGCTTTGCAGTGTGGATTTCCAAAACAGGAATTTTTGTAACCTTCTTTGAGTCTTGTGTAGATGTGATTCACTGAAAGCTTTTAGCTTTAATTTTCTGTTGCTTTCAGGTGAAGTTTGTCATCCAGCTGTGATGTAGAACCTAAGCTATAAATATGGAAATCTCCTTCAAAATCCCTCTGTCAGGGGAGGTGCAGTGTTCTGCAGGCAGAGGCCCTGGAGCAGGATGGCTGAGGCTGTGGTGGTGGTGATGGGGTGCGTGTGTCTTAGGTCCACCAACCCCACTCAAGAGTGTGAAGAGCAGGGAGAAAAATCCAGTTCATTCTGCTGGGTCTGAGCATCGTTCCTCAGTGCTCAGGGGCTTTGGCCGTCTTTGGCAGCGCAGACCAGGGAAGGGTGGCAATTCCTGTCAGTGAGAGGGGGAAGCTCCATGCAAAATGCTATCAGGCTGGATGGCAATTGCACAGAGCTGGTCTCAGGTTAAGGGCACAGGCAAGTGGAATTTGCATGTTTTTCCCCTGCCCCGTATCCTCAGCTCTGGTCTGCCTGCTCAGCTTGATTACTCTGCCTTTGTGTGCTGCAGGGTGGGAGCTGGGGAGCAATTCCCCATGCTGCTCTGCCAGCCATGTGTCCATGCCTGATAAGAGGCCACAGGAGACCGAAGATAAGTTTTCTCTCAGTGCTGGGTTTGCATTTCCTCAATCATCTTGCTCTATCTTTTGTTTTCTCTGATGGCAATAACAGTACATCGTCTAAGGGTCAGGACAGGTGTTTTCCAAGCACAGGCTGCCTTCCTTTGAGTTGGATGGCATTTAAGTAATTGTGGACCATCCATAATTTGTACCAGTAATTATGCCACTTATCAGGGGTTTGTGGGAAGTAACTAGAAAAAATGGAATTTTAATGCTTCCCGTGTTTAATGGCTCTAGGCACGTTTTTAAGGAAAATCTCTAGGAGGATTTTAGAAAAAAAAACAGCAGTCAATTAGATTAACCAAGTAAAGAGACTTACAGTTCACTGAATGTAGTCCTGTGAATCATTTTGCTGGGGCAGCAGTGCTGGTTTTTGTGGCGTTTGATTAAAATCACAATTGCAAGTAGCCAGGCTATTTGTAATTGCACTCTGACAGTGAAGAAATTACAAGGACCACCACCTTCCCTGCCATCTTCGTACAATCATCATCTATTGAGTCATGTGCAAAGCAGTCACCAAAATACTCCATTTTCTCATTTCGCCCTGTCTATTACAATCATTAGCCATTCATCACTGATGTTATATGTCCTGGCAAGCTTTTCAGATGGTGTCTCATGTGTGCCTTTCAAACCTAGTCAGGCAAAACCATATCCAGTGACAACATGTGACACACTAACGGGAGCAAACAGCTATTTTTGTGAGGCAGCAATGTGCTAATTTTCAAGGCATATTGAAAGGATAATAGGGAATGTTGGAATTCATTATTCTGCCCTGAGTATAATTACTCTGATTTTACTGACTTTGGAATGAGAAAGAAGAGAAATTATCCTGCCTTTTTCAAGAAATGTGTTTACTGCCGTTTGCTTTGTTTCATACCTTGAAAGAGCTTCCTTCTCTATAGAAATATGGAGGTAAATACACTGTTCAGCACTGAATAGTTTCATTCAGAGTCATCAGCCTTTTGATAACATTTTCCATCTTATGCAGGGCACCCTAGATATTTTAATCAACTTTCAACTGGATTGGACATGGTTGGATTGGCGGCAGACTGGCTAACATCAGCAGCAAATACTAATATGTAAGTAGAAGATTTTTTATTTAATATATAGATATTTAATATAATTTCACAGTTACTCTCTAAAATACTAGTTGCTGTATCTGAGTGAAAGAATAATTTTATGTTAAAATTGCTAGGCAAAAAATTACCTGCTTTTTAAATGGTTACAACAGTTATTTATAGAAACACTTTCAACGTCGTCTTGTAGGCTGTTATTTTTAAAATTTCATCATTGTGATATGGTGTTGGTTGTGCTACCTCCCAAAAGGATACAAAAAATATATACAGATTAGCATTTTGCCTGCATAAATACATAGAATGCAAGGGGTGCTGAATGAGCAGTTGCATTCATGTAGAGGGGTTATGTACAATCCATACCCAGAGTAGGCAAAGCCATTGCTTTCTTTAAGAAAGAAATGCAGAATTTAAAGTGCGGGTTTTTTTTCACTTTGGGATCAGGAAGCATTTCTGTGTACTTGCTTAGCTTCACGCACTGTCTGGCCATTATGAATAGGACTGCTGACATGTGCCTCTAGACATGTACACGGGTTTGTGCAAGGCAAATGGGCTGTGCCCAGCATCTCTTGGATAAAGGGCAAAGCCTTGAACCTGGAAGAGGTGGACAAGATTATATTCACTGAAGTGGGTGGAAATGGATTCTCAAGCACTCCCTGCATTTCTCCTTCTAGACATTTGATGTCAAATCAGAAGGAAGACTGTGAAAAGTATTGTGAAACAGAACTCTACCTAGTATAACATACAGTATATTGTGGCTATAATGTAATGTAATATTGGAAAAAGATGTGTTAGTGTTGTAGATGAAAGCATTAAATATGGACATTACTACATTTCAGGTTCACCTATGAAATTGCTCCAGTGTTTGTACTTTTGGAATATGTCACACTAAGGAAAATGAGAGAGATGGTTGGCTGGCCAGGGGGCTGTGGCGATGGGATATTTTCACCTGGTACATGACATTTCAAGCTTTCTCTATTTTTCAGACTGTGGTATATGACATCCCCTGTAACTGAAGAGTAAATATAATTAAATATGCATGTTAGAGAGGACACTTGCTAGTAAACACCAGTGGCCTCTTTGAGATAAAGTATTGCATGTTTATGAATTTCAGGGATGTGATTATGAGGGTCTGTTTGAGCAAATTGCACTGCATGATTAGCAGCTGTAATGGCACATGGAAGCATAATGAGAAGAGACATTTGCCTTGCAGTGTTGCTTTGCCCCCACTTCTTATGGATTCCATGAAATAGAAAGACTGTTGTGTTAATAACGGAGGGAAGAAACACAACAAAGCTCTCCATCACCGCAGGGGAAATAGGAGGAAACAGGGAAAGACATAGCATCCCTTCCAGCAATTTTAGTAGAGTCAGTAAGATCCTGCCAGCATTAGAGTATGCTGTTAGCTTTCCATGTGAAGCTGACCTGTTTTACTCAGTGGGGTACTTGTGGGGCTAGTTAATCTGAGTGCTTAAAGGCTTAGAAACCTGGTTCCTTCAGGGCAAGTCAGTAAGGCAAAAAAGTTAGTGTAGGGAAATCATTGACAAACATTGTTAAAACTTTTTTTTTCTTTTTTTTAATCATTCCACTTAGTCTTTTGATTTATACTCTTTGTCACCTCTTCTCTGACTCTTTAATTTCATTGCTGAAAAATTTTGGCCTATCTTACAAAATTGAGAAATACTGAAAGAATTGGGTATATCTTGGCTTGTCAAAAGAGAACAGACTGTTAGCTATTGTAGAAGGAGCCTTTCTGGAGGGGAAGTTGGTTGACCTAATGGAGAGAGAAAGAGTGCACTCTTGAGTAGAGGAAAGGCCTCACTGATAACAGCCTAGGACATTCAGCTCTCTGAGCCCATGAAGGTCAGGCAAGGCTCATCTTCAGCTTCTCACATCTGAATGTACATGGTGGAAGTGGTGTGGGAGTTTTTTCTGTCTCTTTCCACAGATTTAGAAAAATAGATGAGAAGAATTGAAATTGCTTTTTCATGAGTTCTTACTCAAAAAGCACTGAGAGCAAAAGCTCTGACAGCTTTTATTGTGGTGCTTAGAGGTTCCCCTGAGTACCTTGGCCTCCATCACACCGGGCATCTAAGTGTGTATTGTGAGCCCAGGACCAACTGCCCAGTGGCTGGTTACCAACGCTGACCTGACTTGGTACAGCTGCTCTTAGTTCCTCACCTTCCCACTGGGCTGGTCAGGGACCTGCACGGTGAGCGAAGAGCAATAGCAGTGCTGTCCAGCCAGCTCCGGAGGGCAGGGCTGGGTGTGGCACCAGGCTGGGTGAAAGGCTCAAGTGCATGTGCCAGATCTGCCTGAGTCTGGCAAACCTAGGTAGAGACAGTGTGAGTCAGGAAAGGTGTGTGCCTCAGGAGGAACTGCTGGCCCTGCCAGGGCTGCAGAAGTGCTGCTTGGCATGGGGCCAGGGTGTTGCTGGTGTGTCAGAGCTCACTTCATCGAGCGGAAACCTGTGTGGGGACAGGGTCTCTGGCAGGCATCTACCTGCGCTGGCATTTGTAGGGCTGCCCCCTCTCATTCTTTCTTTCTCTGCAATTTCTGGTCTGTGCAAAGTGAATTGTAATTTTCTCTCTTAAGGCAGCAATATTCAGTGTGCAGGTTCTGCTTTTTAGGCAATAATCAAAATAATTTCTGTGCTGTCTTCTCACTTCATGGCTTTAGCTGAAGACCTTACTGCTGCAAAGAAAAGGTTCTTTCTCTCTGCATTCTCTGCAACAAATGCAACACATATCAATACATGTGAAGCATAAAAGTCTGATTATTTTCTCCAAATTCTGTAGGTGTGTTTTTTTAGCTGAAATTAACTGTGGATGTGAATGCAATTATGAAATTAAAAGCAAAATGCAGGCTTATTAATAAGGTTAATGACTGAGTAGTAAATACTAATAGGAAACCCTGGTATTGAAGAAACTTAACATTTCAGTCTATTCTTTTGACACTGAGCCAATTACTTTGAACAAGATAGGCCAAATTACTTCAACATAGATTAGTCACCTCTATCATCAATAGTAGTTCTTGCATGGCATCTACATTTTTTAGGGACAGATACCTGAGCATTTCCTCTTAATCTCTCCATTTCTTGTTTTTTCATTTCTGAAGAGAGGTGTAGAAATATGCTCATATCTCTCAAGATAGTTGAAAGGGGAAGAAAAACTCCAATCTGTACCAACCTGTGTGCCAGCAGTGCCGTTTTCCTGTGGCATTTTCCCTTGGATTCACAGAAGGGCCAGTGAGGTCAGGGAAAGCCCACAGTAGGGCAGCCTCACTGCAAGAACAGAGCTAGGATACTGATTAGAAATGAAGGGCACAGCTTGTGTGGGCTGTGGAACAGTATACATCTCCAGTGAGATTAAAACAAATCTTACAAAAGTCAAAACAGTGTTAAATTTTCCAGCAGAGATATCCAGCAGTGCTTCCTTCATCTGTTCAAAGGGGGGATTTTATCTCACTTTGGCTGGCCAAGCATTGGGTGTCTACCCTGGGCTAGTTACAGCAGCTCCTGTGTATTTGAGGGAGAGTGGGGGATGCGTCTGCAGGGCAAGTTCCGCCTACCACAGACAGCTGCCGTAGGATGAGCTGAACCATCCTCTGGAGGTGCACGTCTTGTGCGTATCTTGAGCTCTTCACTCCATTTTTAGATGGATGAATGTTGTAGTAGTTGAACTCTGCCTCACCAGCATTTCAACCTGTTCATTCGAAACCTTTGCTTTACATAAATACATGTGCATAAACATGGATATATAATCAATCTCTGTGGATATATATATACCTATATTATATATATATATATATATATATATATATATATATATATATATATATACAGGATAAACCTGATGGATTTCATGTCTGTCTGTGTGTGTGTTTGTGTACATACAAATGTAAAAGTTCTCAGCTTCTACCTCAGGTACTGCATTATATTCCCATAGTGCTCATGCAACATTAATATAAAGCCAAACATTGCTCCACTGTAGACAAAGAGACTCAGTTTGTAAAAGATCTCAAAAAGGAAAAACAGACCACTGCAGAGCTGTAGATCTGATACCCATCTTGAAATGGGTTAAATACCCATCTTGACATGGCTGTTTTAGGTGAATGTTTGCCAGTGATTGTAAGGCAGGTGTTAGGGACACTTAACCTTCTCCCCTTGTTCCCATCAGAGGACGGTTAAAATGAAAAATATTTGTTAGATTGACCCTTTTTTCCTTTCTCTTCCTTCCTTCCTTCCTTCCACCCCAGTTATGCAGAAGATAATGGCTTTTGGGTCTCAGTGGATGGGTTTGCTGAAAGCTGGGGCATGAAACACCACCCTCATTTAGAAAGGGAGAGCACATATTATGTGGCACTTGGAAATCCCTTGGGAAGTTGCCTTGTAGGGGCATCTGCTTAGAAGATGGAATCATTTGGGGATTATGTGTTGATGACACATGGAAAGCTAAGACCAGGGACTGAAGGAGATATGGTAGTGCGAATGAGGGTGAAAGGAAGCACCAGTCATTTTTTGCAGTGGTACTTTTTGCATAAACTGTTATTTGTGTGTAGTGGATCTTGTTATTACACAGACCAGTTGTGAGAAGCATCAGGAAGAAGAATCTGTGTTTCTGCCATGAGGCAGAGGCATAAGCATTACAGTTAGAAAACCTATAGCAAGATTTGTTTGTTCTGAAATGATACTACAATGAATAGAAAAAGTAACAGCATATTACTGTGGACTCCAGGTGGTGCCATATCTAACATGTATGCTATGTTGATTGCACGTTTCAAGATGTTCCCAGAAGTTAAAGAAAAAGGAATGGCAGCTATTCCCAGACTGGTTGCCTTCACATCAGAACATGTATGTGTTTCTGTTTTTTTCCTATCTGTTACATCTGCTTGTGTGAATCTATGATGAAGAAAATAGCTGAACAGGAATTTGTTGACAACTGTCTTCATTTCTGTTACTCCTTCACTGGGAATAAGAACATGGGAAGAGGCTTGATTTTTTGATCTGTAGAGGGATGATCTCTGCACTTCTTTGTGGCTGAAATCCAGGCAGAGCAGTCTCTACAAACCACTGCCATTTATTTGCTCTTACTTGTGTCTATATAAATGTTGATGTGAGTGGTAAGGACCACATCAAAGGAGGAGAGCTCGTCATTTGGCTTCAGCACTTTCTGCCAGGAATGTCATCTATTTGGGTCATTCTGGGGCAACAGAAAATCCTTTTGAGTCAAAATCTTTCCATCTGAAACCACTCCTGCTGATATTTAATGAGAAGGTGATAACATACATGAAGACAGTCATATGGCAATGCTCTGTGTGTGTGTGTACGGCAGAGCAGCTGCAGTATTTGATGGGCAAGTGGGCTTTGCTGTGAGTTTCTGCCTGTGAGCAAAAGCTTCAGCACAGGGGGGTTCATCACAGGCACTGCTGAGACCTGGCAGTGCCGGCGATGAGGGGAGGTGGCCACAAGAGAAACAGGAGTAGTCCTCGTGAGGGAGTTCTTTGTTCTTTGTACAGCCATACAGAAGTCTCTGTTGGGGTGTTGTTTTTGGCTTTACCATTTAAAACTCCTTGCATCTTAGAGTGAAGAATGTGGGTGCAGGAGGAAAGGAAAGAGGAATGGTTATCCCCAGGAGGGGCTGTGAGCTGTTCTCAGGCTTCATTGTCCACTTCTAAATTTCTCTCCAGCTGTGTGGGCTCAGCCAGAAAGGACTTATTTGTGGGTGAGGCTTAGCAGGATACTGTCCGTGTTAGGTAACAATGTCCTCCTGGTGCCTATTTTGACTTACCATAGAATTGTGTCCATTCTGTGCAAGTGTGAAGAACAAAACACCCTAAAAATTGATCACAAAAGTGCAGGAGGAAATCTCTCAGAGGATGCCTTTCATAACAGTAGGATGGGATGAGATGTGATACACAGCTGTGGGCTCCACATTGCAGAATTATTGTCCCCATAGCAGTGAAAGAGGACAGTCTGCAGATGAGTAACAACTTCTCAAAGCTAGATGTACAGCTAGAAATACATTATTCATATGGAAGTAACAAGCCTAAGTCGTGCAAATAAGGTTCAGCATGATTATTTAAAGTAACAAATCCTATTAATCATTAGAGAATTTAACTGTTTTCATAGCAATGGAGTGTTAAACAATGACCCAAATTGTGCTATCAGTCTCAAAATAATGAAATCAGCTTTAATAATTGTGTTTTCATGCCAGGGAAGAAGCAGTTCCCTTAGCAAATAAAACATTCAAAAATCAAATATACTAGAGAATTCATAGGACAGCATCTGAAATCCATTAAATTTCAAAAATATCTTGAAATTGCAGTTTTGTCCCTTCCTCAATCAAGCTTTATAAAAAGTGTATTCTCATCTTCTAGAGAAGTTAAAAAACTTCACCATGTAAAGACAGGACCCTTTAACCCTTAATTGCCCAAGGGATATGGGATCATGGTTTAACCCTCAAAATAGCAGAAACTCTTACAGAAGTTACAGAGGCCTAGAAATACAATCTTCTTTAAGGTATAAAGTGTCATGCAGGACCTGAACAGACTCAAGATATGCAAATGTCCTTTGTCTCATTTATCACATCATTCTGATGATCTACCTACTTTTAGAGTCCTTGCCTTGACTGAGGTTTCTCTCTGTCAAGTTGGATGCTCTTGAATGACAATGGCCAAGGAACAAGCAGACTGTAGAATCATAGAACACCCTGAGTTGGTAGGGATCCATCAGGATCAAGTCCATTTCCTGGCCCTGTGCAGGACACCCCAATCAATAATCACACCATGTGCCTGAGAGAATTGTCCAAAAGCTTCTTGAACTGTCAGGCTTGGTGCTGGTGATCACCTCACTGGAAAGCCTGTTACAGTGCTCAACCACTTTCTGGGTGAAGGATCTTTTCCAGATATTAAACTTGAGCCTCCCTTGACTCAGCTTTGTGCCTTCTCTAGTGGCCTGTCGCTGATCACAAGAGTGAAGAGATCAGTACCTGCCCCTCTGCCTCCCCTGATGAGGCTGTTGAAGACCACAGCAAGGTCTCCCCTCAGTCTCATCCAGGCTGAACAGACCAAGTGACCTCAGTGACTCCTCATACAGCTTACCCTCCAGACCCTTCACCATCCTTGGGGCTTTCCTTGGACACCCTCTGACAGCTCAATGTCTTTTTATGTTGTGGCACCCAAAACTGCACACAGGCCTCAGGGTGAGGCTGTCCCAGCTCAGAGCAGAGTGGGACAATCCCCTCCTTTGCCCAGCTGGCCATGCTGTGCCTGATGCCCCCTAGGACCCCCAGGTCCCTTTACATGGCACTGCTCTCCCGCCTCTCATTTCCCATTCTCTACATACAACCATGCTCCATCTCCAGGTGCAGAATCTGGTTCTTGCCCTTGTAGAACTTCATATGGTTGGTGATTGCCCAGTCCTCTTAATTTTTCAAGGTCTCTCTGCAGGTCCTCTCTGCCCTTGAGGGAGTTGATAGCTCTCCCCAGTTTAGCGTCATCAGCACACTTACCTAGTATCCCTTCCAGTCCTGTGTCTGTGTCATTAATGAAGGTGTTAAAGAGCACGGGGGTGAGGATGGAGTCCTGTAGGAGCCCTGATTGTGACAGGTCACCAGCTAGATGTCACCCCATTTACTGTAACCCTTTGTGCCCAACCTGGATCCAGTTGCTCACCCATGGTGTAACAGGGTTATCCGGCTGTGAGCTGGATGCTTTGTCCAGGACGCTGTGAGAGACAGTATCAAAAGCTTTGCTGAGGTCCAAAATGGTTACATCTGCTGGCTTTCCTAGATCAGCTCAGTGCGTTACCCTGTGGTAGAAGGAAATCAGGTTTGACAAGCAGGACTTTGCCTCATGAAGCCCTGCTGGCTCTGATCAATAACCGCATTGTTGTCCAAGTTGTGTGTTTCAGTACTTTCCAGAATAATCTTTTCTGTGAATACTGAAGTGAAACTAACAGGCCTGTAGTTTCTGGGGTCCTCCTTCTTGCCCTTCTTGGAAATTGGGATGATGTTCCCCAGCTTCCAGTCAGCTGGGCCCTCTCCAGATTCCCAAGACCACTCAAAAATCAGTGATAGAGGCTTTGTGATGACTTCAGCTGGCTTTTTGAGAATTCAGGCCCAATAGATTTGAAGGGATCTAGCTGGAGCAGCAGATCCATAGTATCATTTCCCCATGATCTGCATGCATGGTGTGAGGGTAAACAAAGTTAAAAGTAACTGTATGTGTTTAGAAACTCAGAGATTTTGGTTTTGAAATTTTTGGTCAGATGCAAAGATTTCAATATCAGCAATTCTCAATAAAGAATTTTAGCCTCCCAGATAAGACTGTGTTTTCATTACTACCAGTCTAGAGCTTCCTGTACTATAAATGAATGAAGTTGTGTCACAGTTGCCACCACTACTACTGTAATCAGAATCTGGCTCAGTCTGATGCCATGATAGGTTCAGCTGCCAGTGGGGGAGAAGGGAAGGGAGGAGTAATTCACAGCTTTTGAGTAATTACCTCCCTAATTTAGGAGTGCATCATGTTCCACAATTAGGAGCCTCACTCTGTACAACCAGTGAAGAGAAGCACCTCTGGAGAGAAACTCAGAGCATCCAAATTAGGAACCTAAATATTCCTTAATTTAAATGTTCACCTTTGGGAGGGTTTCACCTACTTCTGTGCACTGACCATAAAGAGCTTCCTCATATAGGCAATCTACATTTGGTGCCTAAAATAGGTTATGTGATCATTCCAGCTGTGCATGTTCCCAGACAGCAAATCTTTCCCAAACCACAACTTGGCACACTCTGCTTCTGTTTGTTTCTGTTTCATCAGTGGTGGCGAAATACCCTGCAACTACTTGGGTGGGTTTTCCTCGGGTTTAATTTCACTGAGATGCACTTGCACTCAGGATTTAATTTAGTCCTCTATTCATCAGGACATCATCAGTCTTCTTTCATTTGCACGGGTGCAGGAGCAGTGATGTCCTTCAGGGCAGTTGTTCTGGACTGCACATGATGCAAGAGACCTTGACTCAGAGGGGAAAAAGTGATGGATGCCAGTTGTAAAAACCTGTCTCAGTCTATCATTTCAAACACAATGAAAAATATAAAGTGAAGGCCTCCTCCTGTGTTCCAGCGTATCAGCTTTAGGCTGCTGTAACTCTTCAGAGGAGTCCATCCCTTTTTCAGCATGGAGAAAGCTGCTGAAAGGGATATTCTGCCTTCTCAGAATATTTTAGTTGTTCCATTTGTCTACGAGGAAAGACCTGTTAAATTTTAACCCATTCCTTATTGCAATTTTGACCTGCCCAACCACCACTGTCTTAAAGAGTATCCAGTAGTAGCTGGAAATATTATGGAGCAGGGATTACCACTAGCAGGCAAAAAGACAGAGTCATGCTGCCCTGAGGAGGAAAAGTGTGCAAATGGGAAGTTAAGCTGTAGACAACTAGGTGGGTTCAAGTCACAAAACACCCTTTGGCCCTTTTCATTGATAGTAGAAAATACCTTAAAGAGCTAAAGTTGCAGAATTTCTGTGGATTTGATTAATTAGGGATTGTATGGGCTTAATCCACAATTCAGAGAATGAAAAAAAAAGTCTGGTCATAATTGGAAAGACAGATCTTTTTTTTTTCATCTTAGACTCTGTTCTCCAACCCAGCAAGACTGTTCTCATGTAGTTCACAACAGCTTTCTTACTTTCCCACTCATCTAGAAGCCCCCTAAGAAGGAATAGCTTGTCAGGTGCTCAGTGAAGGAATATCAACACTATTCCTTGTTTTAGGTTTAGAAAACAAAATGCAGAGTTAAGAACTGGCAGGTGATTGAGTCTGATCTGGCACTAAGGGACCTTTTCACCAAG